TAAATATGGACACTTTGTACAGGTTTTCATTGGGGAATCTAGTATAACAAGTAAATTTGGACACTTTGTACAGGTTTTCATTGGGGAATCTAGTATAACAAGTAAATATGGACACTTTGTAAGGTTTTCCTGGGGGATGAAACAAGGCAATCACGAAAGTGCACACAGGTTTTTGGTCAGTGCAACTAGTAAACAACTAATCTATTTACTTTTGGAAGTTCATCCACAACTGTATAATAGTTATAGTGTGTCAAAACCAGAGTCAAATGAACATCAGAATATTAGACTAAGTGTTAATGATAGGTATCAATGGCTTAAAACAAGTTGAAATAATTCATGAACAGCTGAGTTAAAGATAGCACACCTTCACATCAAAACACTAGCACACCTTCACTTCAAAACACAAGTAGGGATAGAAATGTTGATGGATGGGGCCTGTCCCCACAACCTAATACAGACATACCAGTATATAGCTAGCTGTCAGTGTTACAAGTAGTTGTAACCATAACAGTCAGACAATAAATCATTGATATTTAACATCAGCATATATTTCACGCATATGACCTCAGACATCTAGGGCCAAAGATGTTCAAAGTGTGATTAGTTCAGATCGTTATCAAAAAAATGGATTGTAATTTTTAAGAAATGTCTGAATATTTACAAATATTTTTTGTGTTTCCAGTCTGTAGGTGATAATGTTGATTAACTATATATTCAATTTTTATATTAGAATTTCAATATTCTAATAATTTTCTAAATGGAAGTTTTGCGTTAAGTTGTGGTTAAGCTAACAAGGCCTTTGAACAACTCTGCCCTAGCTGGCCCATGAAGGAGATTTTTTTTGTATCTTAGTCAACAGCATATAAACACTGCTTCATTGCAAGTTTCTTGTATAACATTTATCATGACTTCTGTAGTGCAATTTCAAGTTATACCACGGAATTAGATTCTAAGTCCATGGTTATTCTGACAATTAAATGACATGAAATATCCGTTGTCAACAAATGATATTTTGTTATAATCGACTGAGGTTCAATCTACCGTATATCACGTATGTGAAGTTACAAAAAACATGTGATGGTGTCATGCATGAATGAAGTGATAGTGTATACCAAATGGTATGTGCTCTGTACCAATCAACCTAAAATCATCAGTGTTAATTGGTTCATGTGCTCTGTTAAACCACAGGATAAATGTCATAAACACATAATTTGGGGCATGCAATATTCAAATTCTGGATACCCAAAATTATTTTTGGGTAAGAAAACATCTAACTTTCTTTATGCAATATCAAACATTTAATATCAAGTAAGAATTCAGGTTAGACAAAACTGTGTTTTGCACACCCAGAATAACATATTTGTTTTAAAAAATGGTGATAAATGTTTACAATATGTACTAAACCACATATCCATTAATGTACCTTAATTAACCATATACCATATACTGTTTAATGACATGTGCTCCCTACCCACTATATGTGAATTTAACCTACCACAGCCTTATCAAATGATTCAATATGTGCATCATACCAAAGTGAACCAATCACAGCATGATAAAGTGTTCAACGTGTGCTTCATGCCCATATAACTGTGAACCCTACCACCATTTATGTATAAGATATAGAGATATATAGAAATAGTGTGCTGATTGTAAAATTGTATTGTCAAAGATATTAAAATAGATAAACTGGAGACAATTAAATTTATATTATAAAAAAAGTTGTCAGACAAATTAGATTAATAAGACATTTTATCGTTGTTATCACACAAACACACCAACAGACAAACTGAAGAGAGTTGAGTCGTGACTAGAACAGAGATTAAAGCTAAGGGAGGTAAGTCAGTTAACACTGTACCGTTGGTGAGTTGGTGTCGAAAAACTTCCGCCGTCCATCCTGGTTACAAATCAACATTTTAGGTCAATCAAGGGAAAGTATTGTTAACAGGTCCAGCACAGTTATAATAATTTACCTTTGAGGTGATATCTCTACACCTCAAATTGAGGTGTGCACACTTTGAGGTAGATGTGTTATGCTCATGATCAGGTCTCACAACACAAAAACACTCTTACAGATACATATACCTTACAATTGATTAAAAGACATAATTTAAGCATTAACAAACTTCTTTTTACGTTACAACATTCACCATCACAACAACGAGACAACATACCGCTTAATTAACAAAAGCAATTAGAATTGAACTAACATTTATAACATAATATCAACAAGATATTAAAATGTCCAATTTCGTATTACCAATTTTGTATTAACCAATACATGTCTATGAGATGAAGACTTTCTATATTGAAAAATCTTGCAGACTTTTGTTTGTAGATAGTCTTTTGAATTTTAAAAGAGCAATGATTAATTTTCTTATGACATCTTATTCTGTACCTAAATAACATTTGTCTACTAGGTGTCTTAGGAACGAAATAATGAAAATCTATCCTTAAAATCCTCAAAATGTTAATAATCTGACATATTCTCATGTACATATGAATTAAGTGGCCACATATCAGTAAACAGACATTTTTATTTTTTATTTTTTTTCTTCTTCTCAGATATACAATATCATTAAATTTATGTTAGGAATATATTTGCCGCACAAACATGTTACTGTCCCGTGACTCGCCAAATACAAACCACATCAGACTTTTCTGAAACCCTAACCATTCATGCCCCATTTGTAATTTAAAGATAGACAACTTTCAGGATAGTCACTCACCCTGACTGTACTCGTTTAGGTGCGTTGTCTGAGAGCACCTGCTGGCTCTTGCGAGTGGTCTGTTTGGACTTCTCCGAGGGTGTGTGTGTAGAGAGTGAGGATTTCATCTTCTCCCTCATCTCTGCCTGCTGCTGGCCCACTGAAACATGCAATCAAGAGGTGAAATGTACCTACATGGAAATCACCTATACAGGGGAGACAACTTACCAAAAACATATACCTTTACTGATGAGATTTTAAAGAGTTACCAGAGAATTATGTCTACAGGTTAGAGCTCCTCATCAGAAAAATCACATTCTCACATGAGACAATGTAACCAGGAAATTAACTCACCTGGTTCAATAATGATACACATACCTTTACACTAATTTGCAATTATCACTGACACAAACTTTGAGCAGCTTCCTCCAGCTTCCCCGTTACAATATATCATTTACTGTTTCCATAACAGCTGTATTAACAACCATGCTATATCTACCTATATATATACTTGCAAGGAATATAACTTTACTTACTTTGAATTGCCTCTCCATCTAATTCAGCATCAATACCGAACCTCAGCTTGCTTTTCTGTTGTCTGTAATGATAGAGGGTAGCATTAGATATCAAGGAACTCTGTAAAGGCCATAGCTACATGTAACATTGCACATCTACCTAGGGATAGATTACATTTACTACATTAACATTTTATAAGGATAGGAACTTGTATGTTAACATTTCGGAGGAACGGTTTGGTCAAACAGCCATACAGTTACAAATTAAAAGGAACACTGAGATGGTTGTCATATAAAAGGACTTGTTCAGATTCAGATTTATATTCCTTAACTCATTCACCCCTGAAATGTCATAAGGGACTATTCCAACTTTTGCATTGGAAGAGTTCAAATGTGTCTTCAGGGGTGAAGGAGTTAAACCTAGCTGTGATTTCTCCACGTGGTCACTATGAGATAGTCAAGATTACATTAACATGCATGTAAACAATACTTAACAAAGTGTACAATGAAACAGAAGCAAAGTGTGAATATTGACACAATAGACACAAGTTGAGAAGGCCTAAGTGATGTAACACTCAAAATCAACTGATGACTTTGTGTAACCATATACCTTTATGTTCATACTGACAATCTATAATTCAGCAACAATTGACTGTATGACATATAGTACTGACATTTTAAACGTATGTATCGCTTCATACTGCTGATAAGTTACATCCAGTAAAGCTTTGTTTACCGGTACCGGACTTTAAAACATAGGTTCAGACTTACAACAAAGTTTCACTGTTGTTGGATCATTCAAATAAGGTCTAGTTTGTTCCATTTCAAAGATGAAACTGACAAGTCTGCTTGACAACACTATACATATAATGTTTACCGTGACTACATTGAATCCTTCCCTACCATCTGTAACTCATTCCTACCTGTACAAAATGTCTCAAAGTTAAGGATCCCTGTCCCACTATACACAAACGTTTTTCCTATATACAGTAACCTCCCCTTAACTGTAGCACATTTGGGCTCGTACACTTCCGTTGTCTAGGTTAAGCTCAATCAGTTTCAGCAATGGTATAACAATCTGAAGTGCAGGGTTTGAATCCCAGTCTGGCCCCACAGAATATATTACACTCAGAAGATGTAGATTTTGTTTATTTCATCTCGATTGTGTTTTCATTGAAGTCCCACAAGGTATATACTTTTCTTTTCAAATATGGTTTATCAAATCTATAGTACTGCTGGGAAAATAAGTTTTGAATGCATAGTTTCATTTTTTGGCAGTGGTATAGGGATCATTAAGGACAATCTTTGACAATGATTTATCAATGAAAAATCTCAAAGATGAGGAAAACTCAAGACATGAGATATGTTTCATACAAGTGGGGCAAGGTACATTGTACTACCAACACTGTGGGCTAAAGAGCTTGTCCATAAAACACAGAACCTGGACAAAATCTTTTAGTCCTTGAGCACTTAGAGTTACCCTTCCAGACAGTAGGTGAAGTATATATAACAGTATACCAGACTTACCCTGTAATATATCTACAAAGTATCAAATTTGTATTATTAACAGCCTCAGGGAATATATAAGTTTGTTTTTTATACAATGAGATATACTGACCCTACAAAGCTAGAAACAACACATTACTTACTTATGAATTTTTAAAACAAATTTAACAGAATTTTTACAAATAAAAAATTACATTGAAATCAATAAATGTGTTACTATAGTTTAAAAAAGTTAAATACATATATATGAATTCTTTATGAATATACTGATTTGAGGGGATTTGGGTGATGTCTTAATGGAGACGTTTATACTAAAAGACTCTGCTTACTTGAGGATGTTTTTGATGACGCCCACAGATGGGTCCTCCAGTGGCTGTTTGCCTGCCTTACTGATGGGTGTTGGCTGGACTTCTGACAGGAAGGCTACCCTAGCACCTATAAAATGGTAAAAGTGGTTACATCCGTGAGCTTGGGACTTATCTATACTCAGGACTGTCTTATTCTTAAACAGGGTTTATCTTGAAAGAGCTTAATTAATTAACTAAATTGTAAGGGGCTGGGTACAACAGCAGGCTGGAGACTGGGTTACGATAGCTTGGTCAAGTGTGATAGTCTTTTCTTTCCCCATCTGAAAGTTTACCCAGGGAAAGAATCAGCTAGTTAAATCCTTCCCTGGGGAACAAACTGACTAGCCTATTCTTTCCCTGGGGGGAAATCAAATTATTGTGACACACCACTTAGCAGTGAGGTAGATTGGATGGGACAGCGTGGTTTAGAGCAGATGCAGAAATAGAAGTAAGCCACAGTGTTACCTAAGGCAGGGTTTCCCTGGAGAGCAGATGCAGGACGAGGACTGGGATCTTTGATGGCATTGAGGTAAGCACTCCTTGCCAAAAATGCTTCAAACACCTGCTTCAGGGACTCATTCAGCTGACTTGATGTAATTTGCTAAAAACACAAAAACATGTCATGTCAGATTCTTCCTTTAAGACATATTATACACATGGCTATCTGCTACATCACATAGGCCAGTCAGTCTGTCACATAGGCCAGTCAGTCTATGAACCCAATGGAGTTCATTTTACAACAACAAAATCAGACACATATATTGGCAAAGATTATCTGTAATGTTATTTTATTTATTTATTTTTTCAAATTCCATTTTTTTTCAAATTTTGTTAAAAAAAACAGAAATATCTTATTTTTTTTAATTATTCTTCACTACCCTGTCAAGATAGGTATAGCCTGTTGGTATACAACAATATCCTTTAAAACATTTTAAACACATTTCATTACTGAAATTCTGAAATGCATCTTGCTTAAATTGTAAGACATAAAATGTATAATAGTTTGCTAAAAATTATGAGTAAAAATCATATTCATGAGAAAAAAAAAAAAATGAATCCAAATGAACCATGTATAGCATCTGTTTCAAAAGTAGAACTTACTGAAAATGAAAAATCAATCATAAAAAAAAACAGAAAAGAAGAAGGCAGAAATGCAGATAACAGACAGAATCGAAAATCATTGAATTTTTAACCAAAATCCAGACAGAAGGAGATCTAGAGAAGATTAAGACAGAAATAGCTGTACCACAGAAGTTACTGGTAACAATGTACAATACAAATGTTACCATATAAACAGGAAGCAGTTAAACACAATGGTTTTGATTTAAACAACACTAAATACTTTTTGCAATGTATATAACTTGTTGTTATACGTATATACCTGTAAATTAAGCGGTAGGTTAATTATCTTAGCCATGCTGACAGCAACAGTTCATCAAATTATTATATTTTAATATTCATTCTCACTGGCATGCTTAGCATAAATACATAACGTGTGTGACTATATTTTTACCTGACACATGCAATAATTAAGTATACTGACTTGCATGCATCTACATAATCTCATTTTTATCTCTTGACTTCAATAACCAGTTAAAATGTTATTTCATTGATGTTGTTAGAAATTGTTACTTCACCATAGTACATGTCATTGTGATCTTAAAAATAACAAACTTTCTGGGAACAATTAAGTTATGCGGCTACCCTCTTACTTCAGACTAACTTGTCAAGTGTATAGGTTTAATAATTTCTGATTGATTTTGTGAATTGATTACTTTTCAATATTCGACTGTCTTTTTGTGAGCTTGCCTGACAATACCAGTATTAGACTAATAGTAAACACACAATCTATACCAGCAGTCGGTAACAGCCTCTGTACCAAGGGGGGATAACTCTCCTTATATTGATCATTGACTGCCTGCAGGACCATTGTTTACTCTATTGACAAGTTGTTTGGTTGTGACACTCGTACATGTTTACACCAACATGTCTCTCTTATCTAGAATACAGGTGTAGTGAGACAGGTGCCCTAGTGGACATATCCACACCAAGGCCATGTAGTATATACGTACGTAGTGTGTGACACATAAGGTTCCACAGGTACAGATTGTAATTATCTCAGGTAGGTATACCATGATATCACAATCTCGGGTGTAATTGTACGTATGGTTTATGAGGTATTTATTTTGCACAGTACTTAAATAATACAGCACACAGAAATAAACTTTGGTATATTATATATGCTATATTTATAATATGACAACAATCAATATGTATTACAACACAATTACAGGAGCCCGGGCATTATTGCAAGTTGATTTAACATATGGTATTTTGCATGTTTTATTCAAGTGGTAACATCTCCAAAGCGATGTCACAGTAGACTGCTTCTGCCTGTATGGTACATACAAGCCACATTTATCAGATATTCAGTTCCCAGAGAGATTCCCAAAGAAAATGTTCACAAAAACAACATTTTTCGGTTAAACAGAATAAAGCTTCTGTGATTATGACTTAAACTAAGTATGTGATACTTTGGGTTATTTCTTGAATATTGACAAAGGATTAGAGTACCTATAGCTGCACATATGCAAATGTCATTTGAACATTTTCAAGGGAGACTATTCATGATCAGTTAGCTGTTTTTAAAAAACATGCCCACCAATATTGCCACATGCATAAGGGACCTATAGAAATTATTTCTGAACTGGAAATTTATTTTTATAAGGTATGTGATCTTCCAGCCCAAAAGAAAATCTTCCAAATCTCTCAATTAACAAGACAACAATTATTGTTGTTGATATTGTTAATATCTAATAAAAAAGCATGAACGTGTTCACTGTGATTTACTGATTACAGTGCCAATTAAGCCAAATGTGAGGCTTGCGTGGACACCTATGACTACATATTCATTGGTTTTCATTTAAAAAAAAAAAAGGTTTTAAAAGTTGAAATAGTGAAATAAATCCAGACCTATCTGATTTTCAAAATTTTGATCTCAATCTTTTGCCTTCCAACTGTAGACAATCCCCTAGGAACCATGCAGAGGCGTCCATTACGATCCAACAGAGGGGGCCGGCAGGAGGAGCCAGATACAGAGGAGAAAAAGGATTATTATCAGTTTGGGGGTCCAATAGCGGCATTTCTCACCAGTGTATGTTTCATAGGACTGACATATATAGTGGTGGAAAAGATTCAGTCTGTAAGTCTTTGTCATTTCTATTTTATGTATATTAAAAAAATAACAAATTCACCAATTTCTTAAATTATACAATAGAAAGACCCCACAGTAATAGTTCTCGATCAATACCAAAATCTTATCCCAAATTAATGTTGTGTCTTTCAATCAGGGTAAATGGCAGATGCTGAGATTACCAGAGTTCCCGGGACACCCTGGAGGCTGGCTGGATCTTAGGGCAGCAGCCATATTCCTAGGCTGGCTTGGGGCCCAGTTTGTCCTATACCTACTCCCATTTGGTGGACCCATAGAACTAGGGACACCAACCAAGGACACCGGCCGAAAGCTAGCCTATAGACTCAATGGTGAGGATACAAGTTCATGTTGTTAAATGATAATCATACCCATGATTTCTCCATTTGATAATAGACTGTTGAACTGCTCCTTGTAATATCACGCTCATATTTGATGAGCAGTTGTTAAAATCTCGCCTCTTGAATAAAATGACCTGGTAATGAAAATACCTTCTTCTAAGGATTTGTTAGATAATGATGGGTTTTTTTCCAGGTTTTTTTGTTTTTGTATTGAATATGGCATGTTTGATGGTTGCGACCTATGTGGGTTTCCCAGTTACTGTGCTAACACAAAAGGCGCTACAGATGCTGACCACCGGGGTCCTAGCCTTCCTTCTACTCAGCATTGCCCTGTACGTCAAGGCTATGACTCTGAGGCCCCGGGACCGCAGCCCATGTGGTCAAACAGGTCAGTTGTAGACAACCTTCCTCGAATTGCAGCCATTTAACTTTTGCAAATTTGAACTAATGAAAGCATAGTCAGCCTTCATCACTATAGTCTCTGATCATGTGAATGTTTCATTTCTCATGTTGCATTTTCAGATTCCATGTTGGTTATTTGTTGCATTCCATAGTCCCATAAATCATGGAATTCATGTAAAAATACACTTCTTATGATCCACAGTGTAAATGTAGAGTATTTTATACAATGTTTATCTCATTGTTCAGGTTCCAGTTCACCCTTGTGTTACCATATACACGTATTTAACTCTAAAACATAAAGAAAAGATATAATACAATCAGATCTTTGTCCATATCATAACATAGAATGTCCATTTCTATCTTTACAGAGAGCACCTATTACAACTGGTTTATTGGTGCAGAACTCAATCCAAGGTTTGGATTCCTCGACCTAAAGTTGGTTCTTTTCCGTAGCAGTATCATTGGCTGGATGATCTTTAATTGGGTTAATGTTGTTGATGCATTCGAGACTGGTCATCTGACTCCATCCCTTCTACTGGTCAGCAGCCTACAGCTGGTGTATGTGCTAGATACTTTCTGGTTTGAAGCTGGAACATTGGTATCACGAGACATTATTTATGAGGCATTGGGGTTCAACCTCCTCACCCTCTTTCTGATGATTCCATTTACATTCTGTGTCCAGACACGATACCTCGCTACAACAGGGTTCACCCTCCCCTGGTACTGTCTCATTGCCATCATTTCTTTGAATGGTAAGTCAAATAATTACACTGATTACATGTATAGCCATCATTGGCTTAAAAGGTGAAACAGTATACACCTTATCACAATAATTGGCTCAAATAGTGAGTCAAACTTTACCTCATCACCATCATTGGCTCAAATAGTGAGTCAAACTTTATCACCATCATTGGCTCAAATAGTGAGTCAAACTTTACCTCATCACCATCATTGGCTCAAATAGTGAGTCAAACTTTACCTTATCACCATCATTGGCTCAAATAGTGAGTCAGAATTTACCTCATCACCATCATTGGCTTAATTGGTGAGTCAGACTGTCACTGCCTTAATTATCACCAGCATTGGCTTGAACATTGAGTCATACTTTACAATCCCAAGGTAATGTCTTATCATCTGAATCCAAACATTGAGTAAAGACCCTTATTTCTCCGTTTACTGAGAGAGATCACTATGACTGGTGAACTCTTTTTATCATAAACACTTGTCCCGACATCCGAAGCACTCATGATTTTATCCACATCTGAAAAGTACTTCATCTGCATTTTCAGTAACTGGATACTGGATTCTAAGGGGGAGTAACTCTGAGAAAAATAACTTCAGACGAAATCCAAAGGATCCTGCCTTTGCAAGTAAGTACATAAGTATGATACCAAAAAATGGTAGAAAACATACTATTTTGAATAATGAAAGCAAAAATCCTGATGAATCTGTGACATAAATCACATTCTGAAACAGCCAAATTGTTATGTCCTTTACTCATTCATCCCTGAAGACACATTGGAACAATTCAAAGGCTGGAATAGTTCATTATGAAATTTCAAAGGTGAATAAGTTTGTGATACAGAAACCTTGTCCAATATCTGAAATTTACATTGTGGCACAAATGAAATTGATGAGCGGTCTGTTATAACCGCTAGCTGTGACACTATATATTACAGACTACCAGACTCTGCCTACCCAGGTGAAGGGTAAAAACCTGCTTGTGTCCGGTTGGTGGGGGATGAGCAGACACCCTAACTACTTTGGAGACATCATAATTAACTTTAGTTTTGCCTTACCAACAGGTATTGTATAATATCAACTGCCGTGTTTCACAATTAGGTATGCCACACTGCTAAAACAATTCTTGACAAGCCTGTACAACCCTTTTGGTTGATTCTGCTATTAAAGGATAATCTCTCATTATTTTAAGTATCAGTTATGTAAATATAAATCCTAAATTTCAACAAATCACCATATTTAGGCCAGTTTGACATCACATCCATTAAATTCCAGTAATACATTGTAGATTCACTTCATCAAGACTTGATTGTGAACAAATGCAATTTCTTGCTGTATCAAAAAATGAACACAGTTTAGATTTTTGCACTCCTGTAACTCTGCACAGTATTTGATACAAGTGTTTGTACATACATGTACCTCTATACAATTCAACAGCCTGTTAACTTTAATATGTCAGTCGAAATTCTTCATAAATCTCTGTTGATATCATTTTATTTATAGTCCTGCCTTACTTTGCTATTTTAAATTTCATCATTTGTTTTCAGGATTTGGATGTTTCTTGCCTTATCTAAACCCACTGTTTTTGGTGATGATGTTGGTGGACCGTGAGCGAATAGATGGGGAGGAATGTCGGCAACGTTACGGAGAGGCGTGGGACAAATATTGTGAAAAAGTCAAATATAGAATTATTCCTTGTGTATACTGAGATGTCGGGATGAGTAATATGTGACAAAATACACACAGAACCATTCTTTTATTCATTACATGTTAAGTATTATAGCAATCAAAATAAAATAATCAAAACATTGTTTTATTACACTCAACCTTGGTAGATTTAGCTGATCTATTGAGTTTGTGGCCTCCCTTGTGTACTGTTATAAACAGAGTCCATATTTCAGGATATCAAGATTTTTTTTTACTAACAGTTGATACCACTTCTATCCAGTTATGAATAAAATATGAAAACTAATGAATATGGTGTGTTTTTTATTGAAAAGTATACATTATAACAGTATCTTTTTTTTATTTTCAATTTGGATTCTGGGAGTTAAATGTTTGAATCTAGAAGTCGTATCTTCATAGAAAATTGGTCTTTTAGATGTTTTAAACAACATGTTAGTTACGTGTATTTTAATTAAAGCATTTAATTACAGTGACATTTCCCTAAAAAATAAAAATATCAACCCTAGAAACCTGACAGGTCAGCCAGGGTCCCACCATATGTCTGACCATATACCCCCACTCCAATCCAATGGTACCAGAGGAAGGGGAGGATATACGAGGGGGAGTTCCCCCTCAGCTTGAAAAAAAAATAGAATTCTACTAGGCCCTAGAAGCAATCTCTCCTATTCTGGGAAATCCTTTTAGTCTGATTATTAACAAGTAAAATGTGACTTTATATGAATAATATTAAACTTTGTACTTCACTAACTAGTTTTTTTATTCAGAATTATACATAAACCTTTGAGATTTTTCGATGTTTTATCAGACTAAAGATATTTTTTTATTCTTTCCTTTTTACGATTGATACAGACGGTCCATATTAATCATTAAAAATGAAATTAATGAATATTTATATATGATTAAAAAATGTTTTAAAAAAGATTTAGTGTATGCTTCAGCATACATATATGCTTTGCCACTGTTAGTTACACAGGGCAAGAAAAATATTTTTAAATCCACTGGCCCTTGCCCGAAGTAGAAACTTACTGGTCCAAGATTTAAAACCTTTTTTTTCAGCAAAAGAATCACTATATATTAAATAAAGATTTAATGCATCAAGCAGTGTGTGCCAAACTTTTAAAACTATTACAGGACATTCGGGCAGGTAAATATATAAAATAAAATAACAGGACCGAAAAAAAAAATGGAAGTTTATTTTGAACAAGTAAATTAAATGTGTTGTCATAAGGTACATAATTCATCCATCCTGCCTCTCGGACAACAATCTTTTCTTTTCAGTTTTCATGAAATATTTTTAGTTTTCCCCTCTCAGTAACTATAAATATTAAAATAGGGATTATTTACTATTAAATTGCAGGTGATTGATTTACTTTATTTATTTAATATGTGTGTTTATTGTTTAGTTTTAAATTCCTGAAATGTGAGTCCGGATCTGTCCGCTTATTAGTCACGCCATAGCAACACAACAGAGACGTTTTTTCAGGCAAAACGATGTCCCTCAGTTGTAAATAGTACACACAATTACTCATTAAGTAAGTAAATCCTTTATCCATATCTTTTACCATTTTTAGCTGAAGTTTTAATTATTTTCACCAGACTTAAATTCTCAAAAATCGTCTGAGTTTATTTTTAAATTCCTGAAATCTGAGTCCGGATCTGTCCGCTTATTAGTCTCGCCATTGCAACACTCCCAAGATATACAGAACCGTTTTAGGCAAAAACGATGTCCCTCAGTTGTAACTAGTGCCCACAATTATTCAATAAGTAAGTAAACCTTTTATCTATCTATTTTACCTTTATAAGCTTAAGTTTCAATTATTTCACCAGACTTAAATTCTCAAAAATAGACCGCTGGTAATAATCTAATTAGGACGCCAATGTTTTTTCTTTAAAACGAAGAATCAATTTTGTTTTCAAGACCTTTTGGTTGTTTCCTAATTGTTGAAGTATATCTCACCAAACTACAGTCAATCCATGCATGACTTTTAAACCGTCTAATTTTACAATCCAGCACCAAAATATCACTTTCCCGTCGGGCAAGTCGACACATTTACTGACCTCGGGCCATTTCTCGCCCTTATTAACAAAGGATTATACTAGTACCTTGCAGCACATATGCACGCTTGTGTGATTACGACTAAGTTACATGATCAATTAGCCGTTTTGTAAAAAAAGATAGTGCTGTCGCTGGGCCTCAAACGCGTGGCCATTGCCTCTCCAGCGACCTAAAGGGAAATTCCCTAGGCCTACAGGTCGCTTTCTTGTAAGGCAACCTAATCAATCGCCATATTTTTTTACGCTATTCCCCCCTCCTTTTTTCAAACACCAATCAAGGTTCTTTGACTCCCCACCAAGGGTTCTCCTACCTTGAAAGGGGAGGGTCAACGGCACCAATTTGTAGTAGGACGAGGAATAGTGATAAAGATAGTGCCGTCAATGGGCCTCAAACCTGTGGCCATTGGCTCTCCAGCCTGATGCTCTACAGCTGACGCTTGTAAGGCAACCTAATTAATCCACATCTTTTACACATGCATCATGGACCTATAGAAATAATTTCTAAACTGGTAAATGTGATCTTCCAGTCCCAAATAAAATCTTTCCAATCTCTAAATTAATAAGACTACAATCACTTTTGTTGAAATTATTAATATATGAACAACAAGCATGAACGTGTTCACTGTGATTTACTGATTAAAGTGCCAATTAAGCCAAATGTGAGGCTTGCGTGGACACCTATGACTACATATTCATTGGTTTTCATTTAAAAAAAAAAGGTTTTAAAAGTTGAAATAGTGAAATAAATCCAGACCTATCTGATTTTCAAAATTTTGATCTCAATCTTTTGCTTTCCAACTGTAGACAATCCCCTAGGAACCATGCAGAGGCGTCCATTACGATCCAACAGAGGGGGCCGGCAGGAGGAGCCAGATACAGAGGAGAAAAAGGATTATTATCAGTTTGGGGGTCCAATAGGGGCATTTCTAACCAGTGTATGTTTCATAGGACTGACATATATAGTGGTGGAAAAGATTCAGTCTGTAAGTCTTTGTCATTTTTTTTTATTCCTTATGTTAAAAAAAAATCAAAAAATCACCAATTTCCAAATTATACAATAGAAAGATCCCACAGTAATAGTTCTCAATCAATACCAAAATCTTATCCCAAATCATTGTTGTGTCTTTCAATCAGGGTAAATGGCAGATGCTGAGATTACCAGAGTTCCCGGGACACCCTGGAGGCTGGCTGGATCTTAGGGCAGCAGCCATATTCCTAGGCTGGCTTGGGGCCCAGTTTGTCCTATACCTACTCCCATTTGGTGGACCCATAGAACTAGGGTCACCCACCAAAGACACCGGCCGCAAGCTGGCTTATAGACTCAATGGTGAGGATACAAGTTCATGTTGTTAAATGAAAATGATACCACTAAAATATATTATGATGTTTAAGACTTTTTAAAATTTGCTTTGGTATAGTCCTTTACAAAACTCTTGTCATCAACGTTTCCTACTTTGAAATGATCAATGCATCTTTCTCCATCAAAAGTAAATTGTTGACCAGTCCAAAAGAAGTAATTGTTAGTAGACTGTTGGACTGCTACAAGTAATGTCATGCTCAGTTACCTGACAATGACAATACTACTTACTAGCCTATAGACTCAATGGTGAGGATACAAGTACATATTGTTAAATGATAATCATACCCATGATTTCTCCATTTGATAATAGACTGTTGGACTGCTCCATGTAATATCACGCGCATATTTGATGAGCAGTTGTTGAAATCTCGCCTCTTGAATAAAAATGACCTGGTAATGAAAATACCTTCTTCTATGGATTTGTTAGATAATGATGGGGTTTTTTCTAGGTTTTTTTGTTTTTGTGTTGAATATGGCATGTTTGATGGTTGCGACCTATGTGGGTGTCCCAGTTACTGTGCTAACACAAAAGGCACTACAGATGCTGACCACCGGGGTCCTAGCCTTCCTTCTACTCAGCATTGCCCTGTACGTCAAGGCTATGACTCTGAGGCCCCGGAACCGCAGCCCATGTGGTCAAACAGGTGAGTTAGTAGACAACCTTAATTCCTCAATCGGCAACCAATTAACTAGGGCAAACTTGAACTAATGAAAGTATAGTCAGTCTTCATGTTTTGTTTTCCATACTGGATTTTCAAATTCTATTTTGGTTATTTGCTGTTTTCCAAAGTCCCATAAATCACGAAATTGTAAAAATACACTTCTTATGATCCACAGTGTAAATGTAGAATATTTTTTACAATGTTAATCACATTGTTTAGGTTCAAGTTGACCAATTCACCCTTGCATTACCATATACACGTAATTAACTCTAAAACAGAGATATAATACAATCAGATCTTTGTCCACAGCTATCATAACATATAATGTCCATTTCTATCTTTACAGAGAGCGCCTATTATAACTGGTTTATTGGTGCAGAACTCAATCCGAGGTTCGGATTCCTCGACCTAAAGTTGGTCCTCTTCCGTAGCACTGTCATTGGCTGGATGATCTTTAATTGGGTGAATGTTGTAGACGCGTACGAGACTGGTCATCTTACTCCGTCCCTACTACTGGTCAGCAGCCTACAGCTGGTGTATGTTCTAGATACTTTCTGGTTCGAAGCCGGAATGTTGGTATCACGAGAAATTATTTATGAGGCATTGGGGTTCAACCTCCTCTCCCTCTCTCTGATGATTCCATTTACATTCTGTGTCCAGACACGATACCTCGCTACAACAGGGTTCAACCTCCCCTGGTACTGTCTCATCCCCATCATTGCTTTGAATGGTAAGTCAAAACATTACACTGCTAATAGCCATCATTGGCTTGAAAGTTGAGTCAGACTGTCACTGCTTTATCACCATCATCGGCTTGAACATTGAGTTAAACTTTACAATCCCAAGGCACTGTCTTATCATCTTAATCCAAACATTCAGTAATACCCCTTTTCTCAGTTTACTGAAGAGATATTACTATCCTGTAACCACTTCTTATCATAAACAATTTTCCCGACATTCAAAGCACTCATGATTTTATCCACATCTGAAAAGAACTTCATCTGCATTTTCAGTAACAGGATACTGGATTCTAAGGGGGAGTAACTCTGAGAAAAATAACTTCAGACGTAATCCAAAGGATCCTGCCTTTGCAAGTAAGTACATAAGTATGATACCAAAAAATGGTAGAAAACATACTATTTTGAATAGTGAAAGCAAAAATCCTGATGAATCAGTAACATCAATCACATTCTGAAACAGCCAAATTGTTATGTCTTTAACTCATTGACCACTCCAGACTCATTTAAACTCTTCCAATTTAAAGGCTGGAATAGTTCATTCATTATGAAATTTCAGGGTGAATGAGTTATGGGACACTTTTGTGATACAGAAACCTTGTCCAATATCTGAAAATTGCATCATAACGCAAATGTATTGATGAGATGCCTGTTGTAAACGCTAGCTGTGACACTATATATTACAGACTACCAGACTCTGCCTACCCAGGTGAAGGGTAAAAACCTGCTTGTGTCCGGTTGGTGGGGGATGAGCAGACACCCTAACTACTTTGGAGACATCATAATTAACTTAAGCTTTGCCTTACCAACAGGTATTGTATAAACTGCTCTGTTTCACACTAATGTATGATACATAGCTAAAACAATTCTCGACAAGCATATATCCAATCCTTTTGGTTGATTCTGCTATTAAAGGATAATCCCTAATTATTTTAAGTATCAGTTATGTGAACTGTATCACTGGTTTAACTGTCTGCATGACTACGATAAAACTCACTTGGTGACAGTACTTTTGGGGAAGTGGGGGAGGTTATCCGTATTATAATTTCTGTATTATTTGACATCCAATTTTTCTTCAAATCACCATATTTAGGCCAGTTTGACATCACATCCATTAAATTCCAGTAATACATTGTAGATTCACTTCTTCAAGACTTGATTGTGAACAAATGAGATTTTTTGTTGCATCAAAAAATAAACACAGTTTAAATTTTTACACTCATGTAACAAAATACAACTCTGCACAGTATTTGATACAAGTGTTTGTACATACATGTACCTCTATACAATTTAACAGCCTGTTATCTTTAACATGTCAGTCAAAATTCTTCATAAATCACTGTTGATATCATTTTATTTATACTCCTGCCTTACTTTGCTATTTTAAATTTCATGAATTGTTTTCAGGATTTGGCTGTTTCTTGCCTTATCTAAACCCACTGTTTTTGGTGATGCTGTTGGTGGATCGTGAGCGAGTAGACGGGGAGGAATGTCGGCAACGTTACGGAGAGGCGTGGGACAAATATTGTGAAAAAGTCAAATATAGAATTATTCCTTATGTATACTGAGATGTCGGGATGAGTACTATGTGACAAAATACACACAGAACCATTTTAAAGTGTTAAATGTTAAGTATTATAACAATCTAAATAAAATAATCAAAAACTTGTTTGATTACACTCAACTCCCGCTGGTTTTGCTGATCTAGTTAATCTATGTGTGGCCTACCTGTTATAAACAGGATTAACATATTTCAGGAAAATCAAAGTATTTTATTTTTTTACTAACAGTGGAAACCAATGTTGTCCATTTATGAATAAAATATGAAAACTAATTAGTATGGTGTGATTTTTATATATATTGTACCTTTGTTTTTTAGTTACATTGACATTTTCATTGAGTTTAGAAACTTCATTAAAATACCCCTTTTCCACATCTACATATCAAAGTGTCAAATTTTTAAAATATTTGTCTTTTTGATTCTGAGATAATTAGGGACCATACCCCCAATGTCTAATTTTAGTGACAGTGACCTTGACCCTGACTTTTTATATCCCTATAGCATTTCAAGAACATATGGTCTTTTGGATTCTGAGATAATCTCCAGAAATCAAAGTGTGGACTGACAGACAGAGGGAGAGAAGAAAAGGAGGACAAAAGACAGAGGAAACCATGATTACTACTGGGCGCCTACAATGTGGGGCCCTAATAATTTAAACATCAAAACCAACAATTACAAACAAAAATAAACAAATAAAAAAACAATGTGAAGTTCTCATTGATTTTCTGAAGAAATATTTATCTTGCAAAGAAGGCAGTTAAAACTTTATTTGTGATATACCCTATGATAAGTTTCAAATTTAAAATTAAAACACTACTAGTTATTTTTATTCATGTACTTTATAGATTTATGAACAGAAACATGAAAAAGCAAGTACTTATATATTAACTTAAGGCCAAGGTTTTAAGATATCTCCCTAACTTATTTCACATATTATTGCTGATGTCAATCATAACATTCCAATTTCAAAGGCTTTTATGATATATAGACAGGGTTATGTCCCTTTAAATCATTACTAGCACCCACAGAAGGAATATGATGTCCCAGAACCAAACATAAGTATGAGTACATTGCACCCTGGAGGGCGAACAGGTTACAGCTAGAGTCAATGTAAGCTGCAGTGACATGCTCATCCAACATCTACACAGATCAGTCAGCGACAGCCAATCAAACGTAGTCTTACAAATATCAATCCATGGTTACATAAATATCATTGAGATTAAGATTTTAAAAAGTTCTTGTTATGAATTGCTTCAATAACATTTCTCATATTTATGCATGTGGTTTTTTTTTATTCACACTTGATTGTTTTAAAAAAAATCAGCATGAATTCATTGCAATATTAAAATGATCAGTTAAACTACATTTGATTTGCTTTCAAATAATGACTGAAAGAAAGATAATTATATAAAGAGAATTGAAAATAGGCGATATCTAAATAAATTACCACTTCTTTCAAGGCGAGCTGCAAAGGAAATTCATTTAAACCTTTTACAAAACAAACCAAATAAAATAATGTCTGACAGTGAACTACTAATTAGCAACTGCCCAATAATACTGTCCACCAAAACATTTCTAGCACACCCTGCAAATAAACTTCAACAAAGATATGCTCACAAGAAGGAGTACAATGTCTTTTCTAGATGAGTGATTAACTAACCTTATATCATCTACAAACACTGTTATCACTACCATACTTGCAGCACAAGCCTCGATTTAGGCTTTAAGATAACACTTGTGTCTAATATAATCCAACGCCTCATGTACTTGCCGTTTAGCAATTTCTTGATGAATGCTGGATCATTCCAAGCAAACTTAACACATTTTTTTGAATAAGATCAAAGACATTTTTTTCTAACTGTCTATAGAACTACTTCGTATAAAATGTGAACATGTCATTTTCCTCATGTTTATCTTTTTTGAAATCATTTACGGGGTTTTTTTCTAATGATTTATATTTCCCCAGCATCTTTCTGAAGAAAGCCAGGGTTGGTTACCTATCTTACATCTTGGTACATCATACAGGAGGTCTTCCTTACTGTTTTCTCTTGTTTCTCTGTCATCGTCTTTCTTTTGCTCTTCAACAACTCCTTCATTTACACTCAATCCTTCATTTACACTCAATCCTTCATTTACACTCAATCCTTCATTTACACTCAATCCTTCATTTACACTCAATCCTTCATTTACACTCAATCACTATGGTAAGCATTGAGTTAACACTTATTTTTAACTTTTATTTACCTAAATGTGTTTGCAAATGTTTACTTGTGGAACACAGAGGTATCTTTTTGTTCTGATGTTGTTTTTATCAGATTTATTTGTGGTTCTCCGAGACGAATTAGCAGGAGTAATACACAGTAAAATGATATACAACTAGTACAATTCTGTGGAGTATATGTTTGAGTAATTATAAAATTATATACAACTAGTACAATTCTGTTGAGTATATGTTTGAGTAATTAACAAAAGAAAAAATTGAGTCCATGAGACACATGGAATATTCGGTCAATAAATCTGAATTGGCATAATTTCAAAACCCTCAATTTCAACTGAAAAACAACACTAAACTACATTGTATTGGGGGAAAAAAATTCAGCAAAATATGGAATCTAAACATCAATCTACAACTTACACTGCTGTAACAGAAACTCAGTCAATTCATTCACTGCACAGAAACCACAGCAGGAAACTCTAGTGACATGTAAATACTGCAATGTTCTTTTACTTAGTGTAATGAAATTTTAGCACAAAGTACATATTAGCTCAATTATTAAATAACCTATCTACACTTTCAAAACAAAATTTTAATTCTTTAATTCCAAAAAAAATATATGAAAAAATGTCTGTCATGACGGTCATATCGGGAATATTAAATAATGCTAGGTGTCAATATATCTTGTCAAACGTGACAGAGCTATTTCCTTGTCAGTCAGTCACACAGTTACATATGAATATGAATATGTATATCTTAGAGCAGCTTAATATAACCTTAATTATCTTCTTGCTATTTATTTAAGAGCAATTGCACTTTTAAGTAATTATAATATTTAATCTTGTAATACTGCCACCATTTGTACAAAACACTGTTTACGTTATAAAGGGGTCTGCTAAAACATCATTAGAGACATATAAGTAAAATGTTGAGAAAAAAGAAAAAAAAGACATTGAAATATGCTGGCAGTAAATGAGTTGTCAAATAAAAGAAGGGGCATTATATTGCCACTGACAAAAAGAGCAACACCTGTATTTCATTATCACTTAAATTGAATCATCAGTCAATTTTAGGTGTCTCAGTTTTCAGTCGATTATTGCAGTTTTTCTACAAAACTCGGAGAGTAATATTATATAGGTTGAATGTGATAACATTATATAACATAAACATTTAACATGTAAAATTTTAGCTCTGTACTGAATAAGTGTCATAGTTCGTGTAAAATGTGCCAAAAGAACAATACTGCTAAATCAAGTACATTTCCAGTATTCAGTCAACCGAAACGTTTTAATGCCTACCTCCTTGTCCAAATTAGGGCGTGCACATGCATCAATCCTTCGATCCACATCGTTGAGGTGTTGCGCTAGCTGTTGAGCTTGAGAGTTGCTACTGGCAACCTCGGCCTTTATCTTGACCTGTGTATTGGTCAGCCAGCGAGCTATCTTCTCCATGAAAATCAGATCAATCATATGACTCTTAAATCTGTAAACAGAAAGTATGTAAACAGTAACACTAACTTCAAGAAAGGCTATCTTTAGCATTTACTTTATATGAATATACAATAATTTCAGTACTTTTATAAGTTTTACAGACATTTTTGGGGATTTTGAGCGTAAATGAAACATTAAGACAAAATATTTAGCTACCTGAAGTTCTGAGATCTTAGTTAAAGATTACAAATTTTGACAGAATATTAATTTCCATTCCAAGAGTAAGTATCTAAGTACCTGTCTTCAAACTCCAGTGCCACCTTGGTAGCCTGCTCCAGACGTTTGGATTCCATACCCTCTAGGTCAGACATGATGGATCCTTCAGCAGAGTCTATCTTGTCAGACATCTTCTCCAATTTTTTACGGTAATCATTGATTTCCTCGGGACAAAAATTACCTCCATCAGAGAAAACCCTACAAAACAACAAGAACAAAAAAGTTGTTGGACTTCGACTACAAGAGTTTTCAATTCCACCAGCCTGACTGACAAGCTTAGCTGTCTGACACCTAGATGTATCTAAACAGATTTGATGTCATGGCTAGTGAAAATTTTCGATTCGAAAATGTAGGACAAGCTTATTTTATTTTTTCGTAATTTCCTATGAGTTCTGAAATCTGAAATTGTACACGGTTCCTGTATACCGGAAGAATTCTTTAAAAAAAATCCAAGAAATTGTTGAATCAAAATTCAACATTTATGCTCCATATCATTGAAGCACATTATTATAACATGTTTCATCAGTCCTGGCCCTTAGTTTATATTTATGGTAATTTCACAGTGTGAAATAAGCTATTCAAAAGGCAAATGACGTCAAAACAATATTTGATGTCACACCTGCATTTTGACATCATGCAGCTTGTAGATCACAATTCATTGAAAATTCAAACCCATTCTATCTGATATGAATCATAATCAAATGCCATCTTTGGATATGCTCCATGAAAAATATATATAAAAATATTTACACAATTAAACACAGTTTTGTATTATAGGTCCATTTGAAACTTAGGTTTCAGTGACACTACACTTACTTTAATACTTTAATGGCTCAAATAATCTGGTCCTTACATTACTATACTTACTTGAATGACTTAATAAAGCGAGCATTGGACTCCCGTAACATCTGCAAGGTCTCGTCCAGTTTGGTACGAAACTCTCTAAGAGAAGTACGAATGACGCCCATAAATTTTTCCAATTCTACACCAAGCTGGTTCTGAAGAGTAATCAGCCTGAAAAGAACAAGGTAAAAATTAGTTTCTTTATTCTGATACATTGGAAAAGTGTTTATAAATGATTATTTAAGAAAATACAAGATAAAAACTGTTCGTTTATGTGGAACAATTTGACCGTTTATAAATTAAACATTTTCCAGTATAAATCCTGATGGACCTGCAGGCCTTGCAAGGCTTTGTCAAGGCTCGCCTGAAAGCAGCATCAGATTACTAGGTCCAACCTTATTTAATAAACGAACAACAGTGGTTTGACCGTTTAAACGAAAACGACCGATGTTTCCAACTGGTTAGCAAGGCTACTCATAACACTAGAGTGAATAGAAGGGAGGTAAATCTGGAGTACAATATGCTTGATACATGCAGGTAAATGATTTAATCTGATCGAATCAATCAGACAATATAATCTCTCAAAATACCTGTTTAAGCCATAAAAATATCTTCAATAAAACGTCTATAAACATCCATATAAATGTTCCAGATTGAAGACTCAAAAACAGACAAGTTGTTTTCCAGCTTTGCCACTAATATATATTATAGGGTAAGGAGTATTGTTGGACCTTATGATTTGCCTGTAGTCTGATAGCTAAATGGGAGATTAAATAAATGTCCCAAAGTGAAATTCAGACAGCACTGAAAAAACTATCATTTGTCATGAAATCAGTGGTTATAGTTTTGAATAGCACATGCTGAAATCTGCACTGCAATATATCCGCGTTATTCCATCAGTTATTAAAATGTTTTGAATTCACGAAAAGCAGTGTTAATGAGATGCCATACTTCTAATCTTGGATGACATTTGTCTATGTTTTAATAACATTTTGACAAAAACTTCTCTAAGATTATAATTTTTTCTAGTGAATTGAATTTTATGAATCATAAACAATTACTTGTATGTTTGTGTTTAACGTCCTATTAACCGCTATGGTCATTTAAGGATGTGCCAGGTTTTGGTGTTGGAGGAAAGCTGGAGTACCCGGAGAAAAGCCACTGACCTGTGGCCAGTACCTGGTGACTACCCCATGTAGGCCTTGAACCTGCGACCCAGTTTAACTCTTGGTTATGTTAAATGAACTTTGACAATATACAATAATTAAGTTTATTCATCAAAAAAAAACCAAAAAAATCCTACCTTGATGACTTAGTGGCGTTGACAAAGACGGTCTCGAGTGCCTCAATGTCCTCCCGAAACTTTCCTGCCAGTTTATTGTGTTCGAGTGTCATCTTGGTGAACTTCTGTCGCTGCTCATTGAGTGCCTGCTGTATTCCCTTGGTGTGCCTCTGGACACGCTCAGAATGCATCACCAACTCAGCTACAAACACAAGTCTTCACATTATACAGGAACGCAGAGTAAAACATCAAAGGAAACATACAAACGAATTTTTTCCATTTCACTGTTGACAAAGATAACGGATGGAATCAGGTTTTAGATATATGAGTCCGAGATTGTATCCTACTCTAAAAATAGGTCCACGGCTTGACCAATACTGACCAGCTCTGACATTGTGTACGTCCAGTTCTGCTCTCCTGGCACGAGGTTTGTGGAGATGTAGCCTCAAGTCCAGCTCACTGTTCAGCTCCTCGCACTAAAACAATTAAGGCAACACAGCTCATGAGCACATACTGAGGAGCACAAATAAAGAGTACAGCCTGAATGAGCACTCATAAGTACAGATGTGCACAGGCAATGAGCACTCATAAGTACAGATGAGCACAGGCAATGAGCACTCATAAGTACAGATGAGCACAGGCAATGAGCACTCATAAGTACAGATGAGCACAGGCAATGAGCACTCATAAGTACAGATGAGCACAGGCAATGAGCACTCATAAGTACAGATGAGCACAGGCAATGAGCACTCATAAGTACAGATGAGCACAGGCAATGAGCACTCATAAGTACAGATGAGCACAGGCAATGAGCACTCATAAGTACAGATGAGCACAGGCAATGAGCACAACTTATCAGCTTTTATTGTATACCGGGAAATTTTTCCTCGCTCAAACTTTCACCCTTCGCCCTTGAAATCAATTTTCGCCTGGTGTTAATTTTCGCCTGGTGTTATTTTTCGCCTTTCACATTTAATTGCTATGTTTACTATGCTGTTTACTTATATTTGCTGTAATGGTAAATTCACCTTCATTACGGAAGGGGGGAAAAGGTTAAAATTAAACTGTAGTGAAAATTTCCCGGTATACGGTATTGCCAACGAGTGAAGATGACAAGATGAGCATGGATCTGACTAGATTTACTCTGACATCATTGCATACATAATGAGCACAAATGAAAACAAGCAATTACATGTACCACAAACAAACAAACAAACAGATTTTAACCACAGATGTCAACCTGATTTGTCATTTCATTGTTTAAGGTGACACATTCAACATCATTAGAATTTAACATAAGAAGTTTTACATTTGAAGATGTACTGCCAACTAAGTGACCTTAAAGGTAGACTGAGAGAAAACTGACCTTAGCGATGACCACACTCTCTGACCGCTGCACAGCCTGCTCTGTCCACTCCTCCAGCTGGTTCAGAAAATTGATTCTGATCCTGTGAAAAGCAAACACCAGTTTTAATACATATCTATTAGTCTACTCAACAACAAACAAACCCCATTTATTCAAATCTAACCTTGTCAATTAACCACTTTTAGTCTATTGAGTCTCTGCAATATCGTTTCTTAAAAGGAACTTTATATAACACTGCAGGAATTACTTTCAGCAGGTACCTGATTCCTGACGTTCAACTATTTGATTGACATTCTACCAGTCCTACCTCCGTTTGACATCCAGGAGAAGCTTATCGGGGATGTCTATAGCCCTGATGTACTCTGGCTGAGACTCTGAAACCTGGGGAGTCTCTGTAAGGAAAAGTAGCTCCCGAGGGGAGGAAACAACTTCTTCATCTGACCCTGGAGGTACGCCATGCTCCCCTGCCACTGTCAGGACGTAGAACAGCGTGCCCTTGTCTGTTGACAATGTCTCGGTGATGGCAGCTGGCAAGGTGCTTTCCCTCTCCTACAAGGACACACAGATCAGTTAATAATACAAGACACTTTACTGGCTCAAACACAAAACCAATGGGATATTTCTTTAAAAAAAATCAATCAATAAATAAAGACATTTGTGTATTATAGTTTGCCATAGATATGAAATCTTCGGTACTGCACGTCTTTAGTGCAGGACACAAAAAAACCCTCCTGTAAGCATCATTTTCTTCTTGTGATATTTCTGAAATTCTTTGATATATATATTTTTTTCCCACTGAAAAAGAATACACAAATAATATACATGTTCACAGCTGTGCTGGGTGTTTCTTATAAAGTAAAGTAATGTTAAGAGTACTATTGAGTTAAAATATATTATCATTGGTACCACTGGCATTATTATAAATATTTGTTCAAGTTATTTTCCTCAGATATAAATCATATTTTACAATGTATTTTACAAAATTACAGTTGTTCAAAATCTGAGTATTTGAGAAAAAATGAAATAAATGAAAAAAAAACAAAAAACATTCCAGCTGTCAAACTTTTGACATAACTTGGTATCTACTGTAAACCTTACTCCTTCATAATGTTGCTATCCAGGAATTGGTAATGTAATGATTCAAAATGAAAGAGCAATATCTTTCCAAGGGAAGTAACTCAAAGTCAGAAATTCCTTTAAGGTATTACAATTGTCAATATCATGGAAAAGTTTTTATTTACAAATATACAAAAATGAAAACATAGAAACTACTGGGATAAACAGCATTACTAACTGTAACAGGTAATGTGCTGTACAAGAATCATAAATGCATGACATCATATAAAACTGATGAATGCGTTTACAAGGTAATAAATTCTAAACTGGGAAAAAACTCCTTTTATAGCTTCATCTACTTTTTATATATGGGAGAATACTTCGAGTAAAAAGCAGTTCTGAATTGGAACTCTTCTTTGTGGTGATAACTGGTTTAATTAGTGGTGCTCTTTACCTTAAGACAATACAACTCTATTTTTAACCCTTCCACCCCTATGCAACTTCAGTAAAATCGACCATGCATTAAGCTGAATGAGGCCATTATGGTCTACAGTGGTGAAAGGGTTAATATATCTTTTTTTGTTTTTCTTGTTGAATGTTTTCAAAAATTGACCGATATATCTAACAGCATAACCTAAATTATCAAACTTCAATCAAACAGTTTTCTATCTACTTTGTCCAGTTCTGTAGGACTGCTGGACGTCCCTATAGTAGGGCGACCGTGTTTGGTTAGGGTGGAGGTCATCCTCATCATTATTAAGTGATAGCTACCAAGGTATTGAATTCTTTTAATACTTCAGGCCTATGTACAACCCATCTATTACCATAGATAACATGATATGTCCTAATAATCAATACAATATGTGGAGAATGAGGTATGCCATACCCTGCCATAGGCTGGTACGTATACCCTAGGGGTACAGTACATTTAACCTCAAGGCTGAGTGTTTTCACCTGCATTATTAATAGACCTGGGCCAGTATACACGAAACTGTACTCATGAAACATAGATTCTGTGTTCGAACCAACTTTCTTATAACTTAAATTGCCTAAATCATGTGATAAGATCAAAAAGTAAAATCTAGACACCACACAGCAAATTCTGCTTAACTTCAATAACTCTTTCCAAAATTCCTCGAAATCAATAGAGAAATGTAAATTTTGAATAATTTACCCTCAAAACATGAAAATGGATTTGAGAACAGAACATGAGCTTCAGAGTGTGAAAACGTTTTCATGAATATTGGGCCCTGCATGATCCATACAATATGTACATTTTATCTCTCTGCTCATTCGATTTCAATGCATGGAAATCGAACAGTTGATTCAGATTTGTGTGATCAAGTCAAAATCGATATAACGTCAAGATATTATAATACTTCTAATATGAATGTTTTATGAAACATCTGTTCTTCTTGCCACGTTAATATTGGTATTCGTTACTGCACCATTGATAGTAGTAACTGAAAACCTCTGGATCCATGAATATTTGATGATTATTTGATAGCTTCATGTGGTATACCTTTGTCAGATATCCTGAAGTTAATAACACAATAGTTTAGACCATCTGACCTTTGTCAGATATCCTGAAGTTTCTAACACAATATATAGTTTAGACCATCTGACTTGTGTTGCAGTGCCTTTTTTCTATGTATGTTCCCTGTCCAATTTAGCGACTTTAAGAATATGAATAGAGACATTTAAAAAAAAATGTACAACATTGCGCATTTTTAAGCAGTTGCAATCTAGACCTGTAGAGTCGCTACAGACCAGAAAACTTTAAGGATCCCTGTACCACTGCTCAAAACTGTAAAAAGAAATGTTAGGGATGCTTGTGCCTATAAATTGGAAGGTGTTTTTTTAAAGCATGATAATAGATTTAATGAACTATTTCTGAAAAGAAGTCCATATTATACCTTGGGAAACTTTTATGAAAAAGTTAAAAGATAAAACAAACAAAATAAAAATCAACGATAGCACTGTCGTGTACCCGTTACGGATTGGTCTTTTCAAGATGGCGGACCAAGATTGTCACAGAAGGTAGGTTGTCACTTTAAGCTACAATATCACTTATTATAAGTACACTCTAACCGAGACAAGTAACAAGTCTAGCTCAGAAATACTCGATAGTTATATTACAGCATTTGTTTGCAGCTGATTAGTTCATAAACAACTGTGAATCCTTCACAAATTTGGCCAAACTGTTAAACTTGGTATCAGAGCGTGGTTCGCCGTGAGTTTTTTCTCATATTGAATTACTTAGACAGTCTAATGTTTATTTTTATTGTCGGAGACACTCTTGTTTAACATCCGCTTTTACGTAATATGATGTTTATGCTCACAACCCTACGATAATTACAATTATGAATGAAAACCATTTTGTTTACGTTACGGATTGGTCTTCATAAATTTCATGCAATTTTGAGGGAAAATGTTATGGATTGGTCACAAAAAGTTATGTTGGTTTGTGAGACAATTACTGGACAGGCAATGTAAATAGGATGACTTATTTATCAGCAGAATTCACAATAAATATACATGTCCGTACCATATTTGCAGTTATAAGCGTCCGTACCATATTTTCAGTTATAAGCGTCCGTCCTCTCAAAAACACCCCTCCCCTTTTTGGACACTTATTGAAATGATGTAAGCACCCCCCTTTCCTACACACCCTCCATTTAGTACTAAGGTACACTTCACATCAGACACTACAGATTCCCAATCAGACTAGACTGTTTTCCATTGTTTTATAAAAAAAGAGAGACATATTTGAAATTATCCTTGGTGAGTGTCTGAAAGTTTTTTTGCCTTTACAGCAACTAATATTATGTTTTGTTAACTAAGAAATGCCCCCTTCTGCAATTTCTAAAATGCCTTGGTTGCTAATTACAGTGATTATTGTTGTACTTACCATTTTTGTTTCTAAAGAACAGTTGCTACCTCCTGAACGTACCTATCCTAGTGGTTTTTATGTTTTCTTTTTTCTCATACAAACATAAAACAATTTCTTTGAAATGGACAATCAATAGCTTTATTATGGCAGGTGCGCCAAGGTAAACAATACCTAAACAATCGTTTTCAAGGCTTTGTTTAGAAGTCTCACATACAAAAAGTGTAAGTTAATGCCCGAGAAGCTGTAAACTGAAACCTTGCCATTCATGTGTATTCCTTAATGGTTGAAATGAAATTAATAAAAAGTTCTTCCAAGTGTTTTTCCTTCCGCTTAAATTGCATGTACAGTATTTATAATCTTGTTTGAATATTAATTAAATACTATTCAAACTAAATGGTGTCAAAAGATCTAGACTTCATGACGGCTGACAGGGTTGGATTCACATTTTAATAGATAATTTTTCAGATAAGATAAGATTTCATCTGAAAGAACAGCTCAAAAGATGCCATTTAAATGTGTTATGTTTTATCTAGGGTGTACATACACTTATTTCATTTATGCTTTTGATTCTGAGAACGTGTATTCTCCCCCATGGAAATTTCAAAAAGTTGGCAAGGATGAAAAATAAATACCAGGTAATTATAATATCAATTGAGAAAAAAACCATAATTTAAATGTACGTAAGTATGATTTTATAATCTCCACTTCTTACAATAACATGAAAAGGTTCATTTTGCATTGCCACACTGTACTGTTTATTTTTAGAATCAATGTAATTGAAAACAGGTTTTGCTAATAATAGATAGCCGACCTTAAAAGGACCCACCAACCAATGGATTTACCTGTGGAATTGTTATGCTAATTAGGAGATCACTGAGCTGGATCCACTGGCTTGTGAAGTAGCTTACACTGTACACACGTATACCTGTTCAGTACAGGTAGATTGTAAACAGGTCTAATACAGGTAGGCTGTGGTCTCCTAGCAGACAAACCAAAATACACCAATATCTTATAGGAATATATCTGAACTGGTAAAAGTAAAAAAAGACACGTTTAGGATATATGAGCTCAGAGTTGTGTGAGATGACTTGAGGACGACTTACATGTGTATGGACAGGTAAGTAAAATTAGTAGTGAAGTACTTCTTACCTGTGAGACTGAAATGTTACCGGCTCAATGACATGTTCTACCGACATTGACAAAACAAAATGACATACTCGTAATGTCTATTTCATAACACAGACATATTTATAAACGTAATGTTTATACAAAGAATCAATACTATATGGGTTTTGGATTCAAATCTACCTCTGTTATACAGACGTCAGATCAATGGTACATACAGTGACATTGAGTTTCTATAAGGTTCTGGAACCCATAGAACCCATACTCTATTTTATCCTTAATAATGATTTATAAAATGTCTAATTTCTGATATACCAATATTTGACTATACAGAGGCATGAGGCGGAGACCTACTATAATTAGAGCCGATATGTTACGTATAATTTTACACTCCTTTCTGTTTGAAGTGAGATAATTCACGAAAATTCTTTCTCACAATGCCTGGTGTATTATTGTACAATATGAAAGAATGGTGGCTATAAAGGTCAGCCACCCGAACCAACTTTTTCTGTATACATGATGTACTATATTTCCATAACTACATGTACTTCCAGCTCTACACTGTGGCCTATATACACAGGGTTTTATACCAATCACTAATGAATCATGGCTCAACAAATCAAAGACATTAAGATATGAAATGGACGATTAATTTAAAACAGATTTAGACAATACTGATTACAAGGGAATTATTTTTAGAAAATGCGCTAAGTGTGCCTTTGTTCAATTTATTATAAGGCTTATTGATGTTGATGTCAAAACATCTATTTAAACAGTAACAGAAACACTCTGTGACTTCTACAAGTACACCAGAGCTTATTTCAACCAAGGAGATAAATCTCTATAAAGAGGTTATATACCTAGGCAGTCTAAACAGATGGTTTTGTAAACAATTTTTAGTTCCCTTATCATTGTTGAAGCCTCTAAATAAGTTGAAGGTATTCCAAGACGTCCCTTATATTAACTGTCTACATAGGGGCTCTGGGCCATTACCAGTCTACATTCCTGCATGGTCAAATGCTAGCCTGTCAATTCAAAATCTGATGAACCATCAAGATGATATCTACTTGGTCTATATCTAGGTCGGTCGATCATGTCCCACTTGAAAACATTCTATTAACAAACAATGCTTCTTTGTAATGTATTGCGAAATATGTTTTTGTCTGTTTCATATCGGAGCGTGGCACAACTATACCTTACATTTTCGCATCACCTTTAGATACAAGAGATATACTCACAAATTGCATACAAATAATCTTTAATGAGACAGGTAATATGCGTGAGTTGGTGGAACCCACCCTGAAGATCATGAGCTGTACTATAGGTAACACTGTCTGCCGGAGGATACTCGAAACCAAATATCACCTTGTACATGGATAGAATTAAAAGGCAGAAAACAAAAGTGTTGTCTAAAAACTACCTGTTGGACTGAAGCCAGCACTGGATGTCACAGTTTTAATATTTAGCAGCATCTTGAATTACAGAAGTGAACATATCTAAAACAGTAATGGTATCTATACATGTCAGACCTTCGTACCCAACTCACCCTTCCTCAGACACAGTGAGGTTCTTTACCTTTGATCAAACTTCAAATCAAAGTTTACATAAACATTATCAAGCTGTAACGATTAATACCGACCAGAGCAGGAATCCTAAACTTCATATCAAAATCTATATAAACATTATCTTTGACAACCTTTACCCACCCCAAGCTGGAATCTCAAACTGATAAGGCAACAGGGTCTGTCCAACTTCGGCCAGAAATTCTAAGCATTAACATCTTTACGCTCACCAATGGTAAACTTTCTAGTCAATACCGCTGCTGTCATGAGCACTTTCGTCAACCCTGCATGAACTGGTACAGGGCTACATATTTTTATGCCAGTCTACTTCAAATCGAATGATTTAAATCACGATTTTGCAATAGGTGTCAACAGTTTTGTATTGACTGAAAGCTTACTGGTTATAAGTGCACTAGACCGATGAGGCTGTTCAATGTGGGAAGATCCACTTCATATTAGTCTTGCCCAAACACCAGACACCACACCCTTACCGCCACACTCCTACGTAAACCGTACGTCCTTTAACCTGTCTATTCACCTAACCAGACAGGAATTGCATACAAACCATTATGACCAAAATGCAAATTACTCTTTATACAAGATGAGGTAACTTTGAGCTAAGCACCGTATTTAGTATTAGACCATACAGCTATAGTTGTTAAGTGAGGACCAGCTTAAGAAACGCTGTGGCTGATTTAATCGTCAGTACCAATCTTGTGTTTGAACTTTACACATCATCTTATAAACATTTACTATATAAAGGATATATTATCCGTTTATGACCAAAATAGGTGTCAATCGATACCTGTGTGATTACGTGACATCACTCTGCAGATCACTGAGTAAAACACTGCTTATATTACATAGCACTGCTGAGAGAATCAAATTCCTTCATACTTGAGGTTTGTGACAGTCTTGTTATGAAACACACTTCAAGAGACATATAAGTAACATTGAATGATGAAAGATTTACAAGAAGCGGTTCAAAAATTACTGTCAAATCCTAACATGAAAAATATATACATGACAGATTTTTTTTCTTCTGTTTCAGCTGAAGAGAAACACCTGTAAAGCTAGTATACCAGAAGAAACCCAGGATGACCTAACTGGAGATTAATACAAACAACATTAAACGAGAGTCTTGAACCACAGCTAAGGATTTGTAACAATGGGATCATCAGTCCTAAATTTTGGGCTTGCCCTTGAACATGACATTGATGAGCAATACCAATATACTCCAGGCGAGGTTGTCAGGGGCAATGTGAACCTTGAAACCAATGGTCGCACTGCCATACGCAGGATCACTATCAACATTCGTGGTGAGGGAGTAGTGGCTTGGGAGGACCAGGTAAATGGGGCGTTCAAGGCTAACGAAGAATACATCAATGCCAGTCACGTTGTGGAAGAAAGCCAAGGAAAAGAGCCTATTATGCTAGAAAAAGGCAACCATCAATTTGACTTTGAGTACAGACTACCTGACAATCTGCCTTCTTCTTTTATTGGTAAGTTTGGGAGTGTTACGTATGTGTTCAAGGCTAGTGCTTATGGTGATCGCCCTGGTGACACCTCACTCATCAGTGAACCCTTTCTCATCCTCCGCAGTCTGCCCCTCCCCGAGCGATTCAGACATGGCGCTTCCGCAAAATTGGAAAAACGCATATGGAAAAAGCTGTCAAGTGGGAAAGTCAAGCTCTCAGCCAGTATAAACCGGGTAGGAGGAACCCAGGGGGAGGACCTGTTCATAAACGCTGAGGTAGCAAACAGATCTCCTGCCAGGATTACTGCGATGCAGACCTCAATTATCATGAATACCCTCTACCACGCTCAAAACCGTGCTATACCCTTCCGTCAAATTGTCAATAAGCGACGGGACGAGTATGAACTATTACGTGGTGACGGACGTCGATGGCAAAATGTGCGTCTGTCTATCCCTCCCTATATCCCTGAAACGAGACTCGAGTATTGTGATATCATTGAAGTCTCCTATACTCTACAGTTCAGGATAGAAATCGCAGGTGGGAAAGAAATGAAAATAGAATTTCCATTTATGGTCGGATCCATGCAAGAAGGACATGAAATTGTGTCACGTAATAAAAACAGCATCATGAACCGTCAGTGGACGTTGAGCTCGAAGGAGCTCCAAATGGGCCCAGCAGGTGACCCGGCCCCGGATTACGACCATGATGGGGACTGGTATCACGAGAATGTGCCAGAACTTCGCCCAGAAGATTCTAAGGTTACAAACCCATTGTTTCAGGATCATGACAAAAAGATTACACATAAAAACATTGAAAACTTCCAACCTACACTGGATGAGCTGCCAGAGGTTATTGAAAACACAAAACTATGATACTGGGATTCTATCTAATGTTCCACAATGGATTACAGATAGTAGTGAAAAGGGTTGCATCTTTTCATTACAATGAACTGTGCAAAGGTATATAATACAGTATACAAACTTTTTTTTCAGGAAGATGACCATTTGTGTTAAGACTATGAAAACTCAAGTTTTTGATTGGAAAAGCATGTTTATTTGAGAATGTGTGACTGGTTTAGATTTAGATAGAAAAACAAAGAGTATATAATTACAAAGCTATGTTGTGATATATACATTTCAAGGAGAAGACTTTTAGCATTATAGTCAATGATAAATTAAAAGTTGAACAAATATCTCTGTGCAGTTGTTTCTAGACTATTCCCCAGTCCTGACCCAGGATAGGGCTGCCAATGTGAGCAGCCTGGCTGTATTTACAATAAAATAAAATGTGACGTTCCTGCAATATGGAACAATATAAAGTAGACTTGACTACAACACTGGGGGCAGTTATGGGCGTGGGAAACAAGAGTTCTTATTGCCAATAAAAGTCATATAAGTGCTAATATCTCATAGTTGATAGTGTAGATGTTAAAATGATTTTTGCTGAATTTCTTATATAAATTGTCATGAATTGCCAAGGTAGAGCTTAAAAGCTTAGATAACTTATTTTTGTGTGATAGATTTTACTATGAATACATTAAAATATGCTGTAACTAAAAACAATAGTTTTCACTATTCATAAATATTGATATATCAATCACTCATGTGCTTAAAGTAGAACCACCCTCATGTGTAAATAAATTCGGTTTTTGGAAGACGTCCTAATGGATCAAATATCACTAAAATGCCTTTTCTGCCTTCAATGCTTTAAGTTTACATGTATATATATTTAATGAAGGATTTATTTTAGTAACGGAGGTATGAGGCATGTTTTACTCCGCTCAAGGTAATTTTTTCTTAATGTTGGGAGCCCAAGGGTCCATTGCTCTAGATCTAAACAAGTAGTCATATGTCTTATGGTATTACGTTTTTGCTCATTAGATAATGGTTTAAAGATTTATTTATTTTTTTAAATGGATGTTTCCACTTAAACTAATGATAATCTAAATTAATCTGCAGTACCTTTAATTCACATACAAATACCTATAGAAACATCATAACCCTCAAAAAGCCAAATTTCACCTTAAAGTTTGCTTCTTTACTTAGGGTCTAACATTATGCGGGACAGGAGGAAAATTAACCATCAAAATGAAACAGATCCCAATGCAATCATAGCCCTATAAATGCAATTTCTTTTTGCAGTTTTTGTATATATATATTTATACATGTGTTTATTCCAATGTGGTTCTGTTCAATGTATCATATCTACAAATGTCTATCAGTACAAATTGTGTCTACATTTTAACTCATTCACCCCTGAAATTGCTTAATGAATTATTCCAACCGTGTGATTTCAGGGGTGAATGAGTTAAGTAACATCACTATATGTATATCCCAGGATAATTACACTGTCTTTATTATTCTCACGGGACATGATGCAGCATTTTGTTTTTGTCAATTACATGAAATGTACATAATATATAGTTGTTATATCATTAAAATATTTCCAGTCACATTACCATGATTTGTGTAATTAACTACAGTAGAACAGGCATTTTTTGTCTCCATCTATCAACTTAAGAGTGCATGCTACCTTACTGAAATAGATCTCCTACAAAAAAAAAAGATTTCTAAAGTAAGAAATAGGTGAAACATCTTTTATAAAACTTAATGAAATATAATGTAACTCCTATCAAAAAGATTTTTTAAGTAAGAAATGGATCAAACATCTGTTATAAACAGCAATCTGATTTTAACTTTACAGTTGTTTGAGTAACACAACATATTTATTCATGATTTTTTAAGGGAAATAACGCTAACACAAATCATTGATATAATGTGTGTGGTAGCATGTCCCCTTTACTACACATCAGACATCCAGCTATATACATTACAATGCTAATGGGTAAAGAAAACTTCACCTGTAAATTGGTACATGTTAGGTAGGTAAAAGTGGGTGTTGGCCAGTTAATTGTTGTTTACAAATTAAACTTGAGGCATGACTCATAATGAAAAAAGTTCCTTATCATAGGACGATCAAGGGTAGTAGAACTTGCACTAGTATAGTCCTCCAGATAGTATAATATATACTAGTTAATAAAATCTCAATGATAGTAGACCATGAAGTACTCCCCGGTATCTGAATGCTATGGCATTGTGTACAATGTATAATGTTCAGTTTATGTAAAACTGTCTGTAGGGTCACTAGATTGTCCATTATACAATAACCTCCAATTTGTTATTTAAAACCTTTACACGACACAGGCCATAACCTTCAGGACCCCCTCACGTGTACACGACACAGGCTATAACCTTCAGGACCCCCTAACCTGTACACGACACAGGCTATAACCTTCAGGACCCCCTAACCTGTACACGACACAGGCTATAACATACAGGACCCCCCAACCTGTACACAACACCGGCTATAACATCCAGGACCCCCTAACCTGTACACGACACAGGCTATAACCTTCAGGACCCCCTAACCTGTACACGACACCGGCTATAACCTCCAGGACCCCCTAACCTGTACACGACACAGGCTATAACATACAGGACCCCCTAACCTGTACACGACACAGGCTATAACCTCCAGGACCCCCTTACTTGTACACGACACAGGCCATAACCTTCAGGACCCCCTAACCTTTACACGACACCAGCTATAACCTCCAGGACCCCCTAACCTGTACACAATACAGGCTATAACATACAGGACCCCCTAACCTGTACACAACACAGGCTATAACATACAGGACCCCCCAACCTGTACACGACACCGGCTATAACCTCCAGGACCCCCTAACCTGTACACGACACCGGCTATAATCTCCAGGACCCCCTAACCTTTACACGACACAGGCTATAACCTACAGGACCCCCTAATCTGTACACGACATAGGCTATAACATACAGGACCCCCCAACCTGTACACGACACCGGCTATAACATCCAGGACCCCCTAACCTGTACAGGACATAGGCTATAACATACAGGACCCCCTAACCTGTACACGACACAGGCTATAACCTTCAGGACCCTCTAACCTGTACACGACACCAGCTATAACCTCCAGGACCCCCTAACCTTTACACGACACAGGCTATAGCCTACAGGACCCCCTAACCTGTACACGACATAGGCTATAACATACAGGACCCCCCAACCTGTAATCGACACAGGCTATAACATCCAGGACCCCCTAACCTGTACTCGACACAGGCTATACAATCCAGGACCCCCTAACCTGTACACGACACAGGCCATAACCTCCAGGACCCGAGAACCAGTATGTAAATAGTTGTTTATTTCCCCAGGACAAGTAGAGAACATTGTTTGACATCCTTCCATGCCTTATAGATTTAAACTGGTGTAATTCTATGGCACTGTTTATATTGTATTATGACAGGGTCCAGACTTATTAGTTCACTTTTCAATGCAGGGATTAAAGTCCATTTGAAGCCTTCCAACATGGACAAAATATTATAATATTTCGAGATTCTATTGTAACTGTTGAGTTAACATAAGTCTAAGAGTATATCTGTACATCACCTGGAGTTTGTAGTGGCTACTCAAAATACTAAATTAAAGTGTCAGACTGGCATTCAAACTTGGGACCTTCAGACTCTATAGCCAGATGCTCAAAACTAATGTATACTGGAAAATTTTCGCTGCAGTTCAATTTTTTTCACCTTTTTCGACCTCCGTAATGAGGGTGAATTCATCATTAAAGCAAAAATTTGTAAACACCATAATATACATGGCAAATAAACATGAAAGGGCAATTTCAAGACTGGACGGAAACAGATTTTACCATCAAAGGCCGAAATTTGACTGGGCAAAACTTTCCCAGTATTCTATGATAGAGAGCTATTTGGTCACTTGGTCATCATTCGGTCAAGCCTGGCAATACATATACATGTATATACATAACCTAATACCGTAGCACGCTGCTCCATCATTATTGAAGGACAATGTTGTACAACAAAGACTTCATCCAACTGATAAATACTACACAGAATATTACCAGTAAAACAGCTAAAAACAAAGAAACGGGCAGTCTAACAATCCAAATCTAACCTACATTCACTCAGTCAGAGCTTGACAAAGGCACCAGTCGGATAATTCACACATAAGTCCAAGATATGAGATAATAGCAACTACAGCAAAACCTGTCTACAGTGACCACCCAAAGACAAGAGGAAAACTGACCCCAGTATATAGAATGTATACCAAAACACCATTTTTTAATAATATATTGTTTCTAGAGGCAGGTGATATTTATGACAAGTTTTATAGACTATATTGTTTATTTTTAGATATAACAGTCACCTATAAAAGCTGGATAACATGGGGACAGTCTAAAAACAAACAGGACCTGCGTATATTTCATTTTATTTTCTAACAGCAGTCCACAAGGATGTCATACAGGATACATTTTCTAAGAGTTGTACATTTTTTTTTAAGTCATGATTATATATGTTGTCTGGCAAGCTATGTATCACATGTCAGATGGCCATGGCTTTAAGAATGTACAAGGAAGTATCGACACCAATCGCCTGTCCCAGTTTAACAGAAAAAACACCAAGGACATACAACTTTGTAAAGAGCATTAGGGCTATAAATACCATTAAAACAGAAAGCATGCCTGGCTTCACCTGTGTGAGCATTTATGGTGCCCCCGTGTCTACATATAAAAAAATTGTGGTATAAATTCCCACAATTCTATCACACAATCCTTTAAAACATGGACCATTGAAACATAACAAGACGTTACATTCTGTCCTTCTGAACAGGAAGATTGGTGAAAAAAAGTTATTTAAAGTTTATTCATACTTAACTGATTTGGTTGACAATTTGTTTATTAATCCTTTCTATGTTACTTTAGTAGACTCTACCATGCTTTGATCTGGATGAGTCCATTATGGTTTACAGTGGTGAAAGGGTTAATTAAATGTGAGTGTCTTTTGCCTTGACCTTTGAATCATGAAATTTTCTAAGGTTTACTTGAAATTCAACTTCAAGACAACCTTAATAAAATGTTTGATCAAAATTCATTGAGAAATGAACAAGTCACTAATGTAATGACACTGAATCAGGATGAGGCAAGATAGGGATGAATAAACAGGACGGGACAGTCTTGTTCACACTATTTATATACACCCTCCCATAAAATGGCAGGGCATAAAACGAGTTTCTTAATCTTACCTTTTATGAAGTAAAATATAGAAAAAATCATGCTTGCTCTACACTCACTTAAGGATCCCCAAGCAACTGCCACAAACTGTATCTATGTGTTTGAAACTTTTTATCCAGCATGACTATAGCTTTGATAAGTTATTTCTGAAAAGAAAACCGTACCTTGCGAGACTTTTATGAGAAATATCAAATATTAAATACACAAAATATAAGCAATTTTTACAACAGTGTTCAGAATGGAAAAAAAATCAGCAGGGTCAGATCCGGGTTCGAACCCTGGACTTAAGATTGTTAAACTATCGCTCTAACAGATTCCGCTACCTGGTCAATGGAAGTGTCCTTGCCCAATTGATCTACAGTGATATCTAAACGGAAGTTAAGGGGAGATTACTGTATATAGGAGAAACCACAGTGCAGTGGGACAGGGACACTTAAGGTTCAGGAACAGAAGATTCATAAAGACTTATAGATCAATGAACTTCAAGTGTTTGACTACTGACTATACAGACCTGTCCATGCATCACAGAAGACAAATCTATATACATGTACATATGTAATGAGCTTCTAATAAGGTATCTGTCAAACCTTTAAGCTATTTCCTAATGATAATAACATTGTACCTCTAAACTTCATACTCCTGTTAAACACAACAGCCTGCAGCTGGTCCAGAAAAACATTACACACACTATTTTCTTTTGACAACTGGGACTAATCAATCATGGCTTGTGTGACTTACTTATTGTTCCTCTCTATATTCACGTCATTATAAACAGATAATGATTTATTATTTTTCAAGTGACTGCCTGTGTTGGTGTATTCATCTCTGTATGAATTCTTTTATCACCAGCTGTAAAACTTCAGAGAATGACTTAAGTATTGATTTGTCATGTTTAAGCTGACAGTGCAAGTTAAGAACCACTCCAGTGCATGGAAACAAAGATAATGGACCTCATGCATTAGTCTGAGGTGTTTAACTCATTCACCCTTGAAATTTCATAATGAACTATTTCAACTTTTCAATTGGAAAAGTTCAAATTTGACTACAGGGGTGAATGAGTCAAAGCAGCAGGCAGTGGGTCTGAGTCACAATAAAACTGTAAAAATTTGTGATGCTGTTTGTGAGGAGATGTCTCGACAAGGATTATAATATTAATTTGTGTGGCCTGTTGGTGGTCCTTAACTTGCAGTGTCAGCTTTAACATTGAACATCAATAGCAAGTTGTTTATTGAAACCGAGTTACTCAGCTGGGGATGACAGAATACATACAGTGTTACACTACAGTGGGCAGTCACTCCGTAAAAAACTTCAATGATAAATAATATAAATCACACTGTGTTTATAATGACATATAGAGTGAAATGATAAATAGGTTACACAAGCTATGATAGATTACGTTAATATCAAATATCAAAAGAAAAAGGTGTATTTAATGTTTATCTCGATCATCTTCACGCTGAGAAAAAAAAGGAATATATAATTCAGGTAATCATCGTAGGAGGATACAAATTTACTTCACCCTTTTATATAATCCATCAACTGATAAATGACAACAAACTGTAGTGTTGAAAGATTGACCAATTTATATAGGTCACATAGGTGTGTCTGTCTATAGAGGTCACATAGGTGTGTCTGTCTATAAAGGTCACATAGGTGTGTCTGTCTATATAGGTCACATAGGTGTGTCTCTATATAGGTCACATACCAGTAGGTGTGTCTGTCTATATAGGTCACATAGGTGTGTCTGTCTATATAGGTGACATAGGTGTGTCTGTCTATATAGGTATCNATCACATAGGTGTCTGTGTATATAGGTCACATAGGTGTGTCTGTCTATATAGGTGACATAGGTGTGTCTGTCTATAAAGGGCACATAGGTGTGTCTGTCTATCTAGGTCACATAGGTGTCTGTCTATAAAGGTCACATAGGTGTGTCTGTATATATAGGTCACATAGGTGTGTCTGTGTATATAGGTCACATAGGTGGGTCTGTCTATATAGGTCACATACCAGTAAGTGTGTCTGTCTATATAGGTCACGTAGGTGTGTCTGTCTATATATGTAACATAGGTATGTCTGTCTATATAGATCACATAGGGGTCTGGGTATATAGGTCACATAGGTGTGTCTGTTTATATAGGTCACATAGGTGTGTCTGTCTATATAGGTCTCATAGGTGTGTCTGTATATATGCATCACATGGGTACAATAACTATAGTCCATGTCTCTATGGACAGATATTCTAAGAGTCATGGAAATTCAGGTGTGTCTGTCTATATAAATCACATATCAATGGGTACAATAACTAGCCCATGTCTTTATGGACAGATCAACTTAGGGTTATAGAAGTTCAGGAGCGTGTCTGTTTTATATTCATCACATATTAATGGGTACAATAACTAGCTCTGACAATGATGTTTCTATGGACACATAAACTTAGGGTCATGAAAGTTCAAGTGTGATTGTCTATATTCAATACATATCAATGAGTATAATAACTAACTAACATCTCTATGGACACATAAACTTAGGGTCATGGAAGTTTAGGTGTATCTGTTTTATATACATCACATATCAATGGGTTTCAAATTCAGGTGTGTCTGTCTATAAACTAGCTCATGTCTCTATGGACCTATAAACTTAGTCTTAGGTTCATGGAAATTCAGGTGTGTCTGTCTATATAAGTCCCATATCTATGGTTACAATAACTAGCCCATGTCTCTATGGACTGATAAACTTACGATCATGGAGATCCATGTGTGACTGCCTATATATGTCACATATCAATGAAAACTAGCTCATGCCTCTATGGACAAATAAAGTTACGGTCATGGAGATTCAGGTGTGACCTCTCTATACACTACAGGTCACATATATGTACAGATAGACTTCTGGTCACAAAATGTGACAGATGTGACTGTCTAAATACATCATATATATATGGGTACAATAACTATGATAGCTCATGTCTCTATGGAAATTTAACCATAGAGTCATGGAGATCCAGTATGACCTAGCTATAGAGGTGACATATAAATGGGTACAATAACTACGATAGCTCATGTCTCTATGGAAATTTAACCATAGAGTCATGGAGATCCAGTATGACCTAGCTATAGAGGTGACATATAAATGGGTACAATAACTACGATAGCTCATGTCTCTATGGAAATTTAACCATAGAGTCATGGAGATCCAGTATGACCTAGCTATAGAGGTGACATATAAATGGGTACAATAACTACGATAGCTCATGTCTCTATGGAAATTTAACCATAGAGTCATGGAGATCCAGTATGACCTAGCTATAGAGGTGACATATAAATGGGTACAATAACTACGATAGCTCATGTCTCTATGGAAATTTAACCATAGAGTCATGGAGATCCAGTGTGACCTAGCTATAGTGGTAACACATATCAATGGGTACAACTTCCTGACTCTATGGAAACATAACTTATGGGCATGGAGATTAAAACATAATCTCTCTTGTGATCCATCATGTCGAACTTACAACCATAGATGTGAAAGTGTCCCCTGTCAATACATGTCACAAACAGTACCAATATTCACCATCCCATGACAATGCTGTCAAATTCAGTTGGCCTATGACAGAGAGCTTTGAATGATTTTTCACTATTGTAACATCATTATCAAGATGGCTGTTCTGTTGATTGAGAATACATGCAGCTTTCCATCGGTTTGAATGACAACTGAAAGTATTTCAAAATTTAAATGGGTTGGCGGGTCGACGCATGAATAAAAAAGGTGCGTTTCACATGCTGAAATATAATCAAATCACAACAAAAACAAAACTAAAAACTAAACACACAAAAAGTAAAACAAATATGGAGATGATGTAATAAACTACCACACATATATGGTGAGTATTTAAAAGGTCTCAATCAGGAGCAATATAAGCAAAGACAAGCAAGCTCAGGCAACGGTAGAAACAGGCCAGGTGAATGTACCTTTACCAGGTAAACACTAAATCATGCAGAAATGGTAATATACATGTATATGTCAACAAAAACGCTACATCATAAGCTGAATTCGTCTGTGAACAGTTAAGCAAAAGTGAAGTAAATGACTTCGTCAACTCACAAACCAAACTCTGACCTACCAACAGCGATTTATCCTTTCCTTTGAATTTTCGTGAAGTTTTCTTGCCTTTTCTAGAGCGATCCTCCTTTTAAAGCACAACCAAAAACAATGCTACTTTAACAAAATCACAAGACAATATCGATCGACTAGCCACACTGGAGGCAAAAACAACAATATAGAAAACTGCAAACATCTAAATAATATCTCAAAAGGCAGCAGCATTGTCTTCATAAATGAACAGAAATGATTTGAGAACTGCACCATAAAAATTGTACAAAAAGTTTTTAACTCATTCACCCCTGACGACACATTGAACTCTTTTAATTGAAAGGTTGGAATGGTTCATTTTGAAATTTCAGGAGTGAATGAGTTAATAAGCCTTCAATATGTGCGAAATGTTGTCGTTTTGTTTATCACTTGAAGCCGACTCTCATGAATATGTACATTGTACTAGGTAAGCAAGTGTAAGAAAATATCCCAAATTTACGACAGCATGTACATCAACAGATTTTTAATAATCTAATTTTGAGTAAGTATACTTTCTAAATATATATGTTAATCAATCTAACATACTTTCAAAAGTCTTGGTAATAATTGATATATTCTTTTAAAATATCATAACTTTACATGTACTGAACATTTTAGAATATGTCCATTTTACATACTTTCAAATGTTTCAAATAAATTGATCCTTTAAAACGATTCACCAAGCTAAGCAGAAACACTATAACATGCACCAGCTACAACTGAAAAATTGTGATATTTCAAATAACAGAAAATTATACAACAAAACAGACTGAAAATGTCTGCATTAAAACAAACAATTAATGCTTTCAAAACTAACTTGTCATAAAAATAATTAACATTTTTTTTTTCATATCATAAACAAATTTGTTTCTGTTTTTGTTTCTGTCAAGATCATAAAAGCAATATTTGAAAGGAAAGGAAAATGTGTAAGATGTGTTTCTATTCACATGTATACAACTGAAGTTCATGTATCATTACCATCACAGTCATATTTATGTGCAACAAAATGATTACAACTTTAAAACAAAATTGTGAATTTATGTTAAAGTCACTTTTGATTTTATATTGTACCTCACTTAGCATTCCTCAATAAATGAGGAAACTATAAAAGGTAGAATTTCCACGGAAAGAAATATGTCTTTAGACCAGAAGAATGCTTTTATGATCCACTGACAAACATGATAAAACGAGAACTGTTAACTAACTCTGACCTTTTGTCTTTTCATCAATGCCTACACAAATGTTTAAAAAAACGATTAATTTTGATTTGTCACAGAAATTCTGTTAAAAACTGCAAACTAAAAAAAACGACAGCAAATTCATAGAACCACACATGATTAATATTCATAACACTCATTAATATTCCTTGACAACTTCATTGAAAGTTTGCTCTCTAGCTGGCATTCCAAACCACAATGTGCTAGCTATTGTAATACACTCACTCCCACGTAAATGATGATTAATTTTATGAAAGAACAATGTATATTGTTTTCTTAGTGCTGCAAGCACTGGCTGAAATAAGCCAATAAAAGTGATGAACATGTTTAGAAAAATATGAAGAACTTGATCAGGTCTGTAATAAAATGTTTTAATTATTGTATTATGTATCCATTTCAGACAGAAGTTTTGTAAACTGAAACAGAATAAAATAATATCTGACTACTAAAAGAGGTATTTGAAATCACCTCTTATTTTCTAAGTAAAATTTTGTGATCTTAATTAAAATTATGTTGTATAAGTAACATACACAAGTTAGAGAAAACCAGACTTTTTCATGTAAAACAATTAATTTCTGTCAGTTAAATTTCCATTAGTTTCTACCCCATTTTAACCACAGACAAGTACAGATGTAACCCTAGCCCAAGACAGGTACACTTGTAAACAACATCTTGGTACGTTATGTACCTGTACAACAAATACTGTGACACCTGAGGCAGGTATATGAGCAGGTGTGTTACAACATGTACCTCTACATCCGGTATACGTGAAGGCCCTATAACTGTCTGTGATGACTAAAACTAATTTAATAAGTGTATTGCATAATGTGTTCGTGAATAATATTATAATATCTGTTCAATTTGTTATAATTAATGTGCTATAAATGTAACATGCAGATTTCGGATGGATTTAATTTTCTATTTAAATGTCAATCCTATAGTAATCCTTGATAAAAAAAAAGAGTTGATTTAAGTTTGTGATCCATATACAAATTTTAATTTTAAAGCTTTTCCGTTCCCAGAAGGATCAACAATGTCTAATAAATATTCAATCAATCACTTCAGGAAAGCAATCATGTACTAGGATCAACAGTATCTAAGATATTCAATCACTTTAGAAAAGCACAGACACACACTGAAGTTAGTCAGACACCAGAAAATAAACATGTACCGAGACCACTGTAGTAGCAGAAGATACCGTCTTTTCTTTGACTAGCACGGTTATAGTGACTTTCGGTTCGTCAAGCTGTAAGACAGAGCGAAGGTAAACACTACTTGTCAAGGATGATAAAGAAAACGCTGCACAGATATCTCTCCTGTACTGTACTGACGAGGTGTAAATGATGTGCACACGTTATTTACTTTAGTTTATGTGTAAGTCACTGATCCTGTTCAAATCACCACAGTCAATCTTCAATGGACTCTAATTGATCACTAACATTAGCAGAATTCCACAGATTACACCCTACAGGGTGTGGATGATAAAGAATTATACAGAAGTTAGAGGATATCCTCATACAATAATTAAAATTGAAATACATATCAATCTATTTATAAAGAAATATTATATGATTAAATTTCATTTTTTTTTTTTTGTGTCAACAGGTACAATATAATGCAAAACATAATTGATGAAATAGGATTTGGAAACAAATTTTACAACTTTTATAAATCCGTCTCCAGGTTGTATTGTATGATTCAAACCATTATGTGGGTTTTTTATCACTATTTCAGGCAAATTTTTTTTTTTATATAAACCAATTAAAAAAACTAATGAAGATGTTTTGTATGAAACGTAGGGCACAGAAAACCGGAACCTAAGATGTACAACTTAATGTTTTTAAAAATTCTACCAGCACAACCTATATTTTCATAGTAAATACTGAAAGTTGTCTCTAGCCCTTACACAAAATCTACTAGCCCCAGGTGTTAGGCTAGTGGAAATCTACACATCTGTACATATCTAACATAGGAACGTCACTTCATAGACAGCCAATATACAGGTAAGGTAACAGGAATTTGTGTTTATTAAAAAAAGAGAAATTTTAACTAATTTAAAACATTATTGTTAATCATCATTTTTCACCTCCAAATGATTGAGTCAAAGGTATAACAAAAAATCTTCATCAATTATTTTTACTAACACCAAAATTTGTTTGCTGCAGTTACTTTTTCACTTTTTTCACCCTCTGTAATGAAAGGGAGCTAACTGATCATGATTGTGAGTATGTTTCACCCTCCGCAATGAAAGAGAACTTATTATGATCGTGAATATTAATAAACTGCCCACCAATACATACTGCCATTTCTTCTGTTTCATGTAAAGGGTGAAATCAACAGGACATGAATATTGATATTCCAGGAGAGGAGGCGATAGATCGCAGGGTAAAGGTTGACCAGTACACAACACCTTCTAGTATCTAGTAGGGGGCAGCCACATACACCCTGCTGTTGTGACATTTAACCTATTTTTCAGATTGTATAAGGAGTTAATACGACAACATTGAAATGATTCCAACAAACTACTACACAATCTTAAACATCAGTGAATACACAACAAAATGTTTACAACAAGTTAAACAAAAATGTGCATAACAGCAAACACAAATGACTTTTTGTGAAAAGAAGTGGTTTGTTTGAACTGTGCCTGTTACCCTAAATATTGAGATTGTCCCGATAGAAATCAGATATGTTACTTTTAAATCTTCAAAGATCATTTGCAATCAAAAATATATTTAAAGTTTTTGAATATGTTTAAAATTTGAATAAGTGAATGATATGTATATATACTGGGTACAAAGAAATGCAGAATCACACTGTGTTTTTAATTTAATTTATAATATTAAGCAATGAGGTTCCTATTCTCCCCTGTATATGTGTATATTTATAGATAGGTTTGATAACACAAACAGTATGTTTTAAGAAACAAGTCTATCAAAAAAATTTGACACTATATAACTCGGAACTCCTGACTACAGTTTTTCGTAAATTTTTGTGGGGATTTATTTGATACATTTATCAACAAGAGTTATCAGACTGTGCCAACAACTAACAGGTGCAGACATGAATAGTGCTGAGTATCAGATACGCATGTACTTACATCCGGGTGTCGGTCAACCATGAAGAACCGACAGACAGCCAGGTCATAATTTGTCAGCTCCTCTTTCACCATGTTGGGGTACTGCTGGACAATAGATGCCTGGTCCTTGTGGAACACCTCATACCTGTCAATAAGGGGAAAACAATATGTCCTGAGTATAAGGATATAAATAAGGGGAGATAATCCACGAGGAGTTAATCAGACAGATAGTTTGAGTGATAAATCCAAAGTATATACATGTACATCCAAGCATAAAGATACTAATAAGGGGAGATAATCCACCAGGCACTGATCAGACAGATATTAAGTGAAAAATCGAAAGAACATCAATGTATGTACAAACAAACTATGTGACTAACAGGCCTCAGAAATGTATTTCTACCAACACAAGCTAAATTTTACATTGGAGGTGAAAATTTGGTAAAAGAGTTGTTGAGAGAACCATGTAAACACAATATTTATAAGTGCATGTTCTTGAAGTGGACATCTTATTATAAACATAAATCCACAAAGTCTAGAAAAGGTTTACTGGATCACTAGGTTTATGCCTCTTCTTCTCTTCCGAACTGTGGACCAACCTGAATGAAAACATCCAAAGATGTCCTAATCAAGGGGAGACAATCCCAATATTACAACAGGATTACCAGGGCAGTTCATAGTTAAAAGGCAAAATGAGGATAAAACCTGAGATTACTTACGCTGCCTTGATTTTTTCAAGCTTGTCCAGTGCCTTGCTGAGGCTGTCTCTGAGTGAGGTCTCGGAGGCGTCCTGTCTCATCCGATCCATGATAATGTCTAGGTTAGCCTCCTTCTCCTGTGAAATAGATTATATATATTTATACAACTTTAGTTACAGTCCATTTTGGATTAGAGTCCCCATGGCTCAGAATAACTTCATTCACTTGATCACCATTTTTACAATTACTATAGGAACACAACTTCGCATTAAGAATAGACAAGTTTCTGATTATATATTGTTATATAATATATATGAAAAGTAACCTTTGTTTATTTTTTTGTTTATTTATATTCACTGTATTGATAAATTCACCCTCATTACTGAGGCGAAAAAGGCAAAAATTAAACTGCAGCGATATATATCTTATAGTAAAACAAGGCAACAATGTCAAATATCAAGATCTCATGGCCAAAGCAGGGTTGATTGTCATATTGACAATGCTGTCAGTGACTCCAGATTTTGTGGCCAACCATAGATCTGCTATCTTACTGACCTGATTCTGATTGTCGTGCTGGTGGCGACACACTTCGAGCTTCTCCTGCAGTGCCCTCTCCTGTTTGGCGAGCCCAATCTCGTGGACATCCCAGACATGAGCTGATCCTTGGGCATATTTAAACAGGGACCTTAGTTTCTCATTGGAAAAATTGTTGTGAGTCTCAAGCGCTTTCTGAAATATATGCAAAAGATGAAATAATACTGCATTTTATGACATCAAAAACATTTCTTCAAATCATTACACATTTACATATTATATATACGTATCACATATCACTTTAACCACAACACGTAAGACATTACCCCATTTCTTCAATGACATACGATCAATCCTTATTTTTCATTCAGGCAAAGTTTGTAGTACAGTAAAACCTTATTATACTGTCACAAGTTTTGTTCAGCAAGACTTTAGCATTACAAAGGGTTTCGGCAATATATTGGGGGCAATGCATTGTTAACAAAAAATGGAAAAGGGACATTGAGATATGTTGTTAGTAATATGTTATTGAGGTTTTACCTATATAAACGAGGGGACTTATAGAAACTGTCTGAGATTTTGGTGTATAAAAATTAGGAATGTTATATTGAAGGGTTATCAAGGTTTGACTGTATATAAACAATGGGCTTTATATTGGGGTACATATTGTACTGTATAGCGCTTTAAATTTGCGGGGTCAATATTTTGCGATTTCGTATTCAGTACATATTTGCGGGGGTTAAATTTTGCTGTGCACCCTAACCCCAATTTGGAGTGTCATCATAAAAGGTTAATCCTCGAAATACAGATAAACCTTTAGAAAACACAGATTACGAGAATCGTCATCAACCAGTGACTTCACACGAAAGAAAATCATGTGTATGTACCTTTGTAGGAGTAGACTGTAATCAATTAACCACCTACTGTGTACACATAAATATGTTGTGGCCAAATATATATTATTTGAGTTCATTTAAGCTTGCATAATAGTTGGGTTATAAGTATTCTCAACATGTTGTGATAAGGTCCGTAAAAGTGGTTAACATTTTCGATAATTTTGCTGGTGTTTAGAATTCGCGGATATAATTCAGCGCGAATATAGCGAAATTAAAACCCCCGCCAAATATAATCACTATACAGTATATCAATTAGGGTGTTATATTTAGGTTTTACTGGTATATAAATGAGGGGCTTTATATTGAGCTACATACTGACTTACTGTACATAAATGAGGGTGTTATATAAAGGTCTTATTGTATATAAACCAGGCTATCAATTCAGATATTTAAGCATGTTTATATTTACACACTACACACAACTACCTTTGATCTTATTACGATTTGAGCAACAACAAAAAAGACATTACCGATTGTGTAGACCACAAATATAGTGACAAAAATCCACCTGTGAACATAGCACTACTATACAGTAATATCAGTACTTTGTTAGCTTGAATGTAAACCTATTTGTACGTACATCCATAGTGTCAAGATTCTGTTCAAACACTCGTTGTCTCTCTCCCACCAGGGGGAGCAGGTCATCATCTATCACCTGCTGAACCCGTGTAGACGTCACAATTCCATCATCCAATAGACTTGTCTGAAAAATCAAAGGTGAAAGTTAAAGTTAAAACTTAAGACATCACAATTCTGTCCAATAGGCAGGTCTGGAAATCAAATGACAAAGTTCAAATTATATTTTTGAAATCAAGAAAAAAATTAGAAAATGTTTGTAAAATGATAATAATAATAATTCAAGGTTCTTATATACCGCTTTATCACAACCTAGTTTGTAGGTCGTCTCAAAGTGGTTCACAAATTAATATCCATGGTTATAGAGCCTTTGCAACCAGTAATTATCTTTCTAAACTCCCTGGTGAGCATACAGCCGGTGCTGCCATTTAGGCGCTCACAGCTAGCATGCAACAATTCCAGCGCTGCCCAACCACGTACTCATTTACAGCTAAGTAGACTGGAAACAAGCGGTGTAAAGTATCTTGTTCAAAGATACAACACGGTGCCGAGACGTGAATTGAACCCGCAACCCTTCGGTCACAAAACTCTGCGTCCTACCACTAGACTACCATGTCTCCAAACATACACATGCACCCCCGACCCCAACCCTGACCTTTGAACCCCAACCCCAAACACAATGGAGCTAAATGCAAAGTCTAACCAAATTCAGTGAAGTGAAAAATATAGATCAATAGATCACAGTGACCTTAATTTTATAAACTGGTGTAGTACTCCTCAAACATTTTTGTAACAAAGAACCAAGTCTGACAACTGTTACTTGTACAAAAATAAAATACTGTAAAATCAATAATTTTTGTGGGATTTTATTTTTGTTGATTTCTTGAGTTCTCTTCATCCACGAAGTCACAGGTTCACAAAGTAATAACAAGTTTGACATAAAGCTATTATCCATATGATTGGGTACTTGCAATTCACAAATTCATGTACCCAGGAAATGGTGTTTTTTCTGGAAACCACAAAATTTGGGCCCTACAAAAATGTCTTATTTCATAGTATATTAACGTACCTTGATGGAATCGATTCTCTCCAGGCACTTCTGACATACTTGCTCATATTCATCGTGGAGTTTGGCCATATGCACCTGATTCACAGAGTCTGTAACAGAGCAGTTTCTTTTTAACAAAATCCATATCGCACACAACCACCATTTACCAATATCCTACTACGTCACCATGAAATGGCATTATTGTGTAAATTGGCGAATAAGAATATAATTACTGATGTATCAAAATTAAATCAAATTGAAAAAATCCAAACCAAAAATAGGTTTTGTTTATGGTAGGACCAGCATGGTGTCTCCAAAACGTTGATTATCAAAGTTTTTAACGTGTCTATTAAAAAAAAATCACAAACCTTACTTATTTGACAAAAAGTTCTTATACCTATCTCTGTAGTGACGGCCACAATGTTCTTGTTCCACTGGTACACTGCTGTTTTGGTGGAGGCCGGAGGCTGCAGATCACTACCACAAAAGTTTTATTCACTTATTATTACATATGTATGAACAAAACACTTGTATATTTCTTAAAATATCATTACTAAATAACAGTGAAGTGAGTGTAAAGCTGTTTTTGTAGCAAAACTGTTTTTCATTTTAAACATATTTTCTTTTACAAATCAAAATAAATCAGGATGACTTTTTATCATTTGTCATAATTGTCAAAGCAAGAACTATAAGACTATTTTTCATAATGTAACAAAAAAATCCCTATTTTTATATCTAATGTTAACTAAATAAACTGGATGTTTAAATAAATTGTGTGCAAAATGATTCTTGGTTATTCTTATAAAAGAAGTTTTAATAAATCCAAATTACTATGTGGAGTTATTTTTACAAACAGAATACTACAGCAGTTAACAAGATCCTTTGAAGATGCAACAATTACTTTCAAAACACTCACTAATGTCATTATGTAGGCTACAGAAATTTAATTCATGACTTTTTCATATTTTGCACTTGCTTTGCCTGAAAATTTACTGCTTTGAGCATCCCACCATACTCATACTTCTAATGTAGTCTAATTATGCTGATTACACTAAAGGTGTACTATCATTAACTAAGGCTCAGCTTGTGCAAGAACAATGTAATTTCAAAGGATTCGATTTATGATGTGTCAGAGTAAAAAGTACCTTAGCTGATCAATTAAGTCAGTCCTCCTCTTGTTGAGGATCTTCTGTTCCGCTTTCATAAACATGAGCACCTTCTGGACCCCAGGGGGAGATACTACATCCTCACTCTGCATAAAGTCTCTATTTAGCAGGAAAACACAGAAAATTGAAATAAATGAGAAAATCTCAAGGTCATCAATGTATGATATTCTCAAGGTCATCAATGCATGATACTCTCAAGGTCATCAATGCATGATACTCTCAAAGTGATCAATGAATGATGCGCTCAAGGTCATCCATGTATGATACTCTCAAGGTCATCAATGTATGACAATCTCAAGGTCATCAATGCATGACACTCTCAAGGTCATCAATGAATAATATTCTTAAGGAAATCAATGTATGAAACTATCAAGGTCATCAATGCATGACACTCTCAAGGTCATCAATGCATGACAATCTCAAGGTCAACAAAGCATGATATGACACTAATGTAAAGAGGATATTTAATGGTGTCTTCATTAATGAGTGAAAAATATCTAAATATTAGCCACACGAGTGAGATACATTTGTTATTACTGAAGACACCATTAAATTTTCTATTTATTACATTTCTAAAGCATAAAACATGAAATTTATGCATTAAAACAGGATGGGAATCAGAAGCGTAATAATTAGCGCCATATTCTATTGACATATCACACTTGACAACAAGGCTGCGCGCCATTTTGAATGAGATACTCATGCAAGGTAATTCCGACGTTTTCTGCTATTTTCTGATATGATTGCTTATAAAAATGTTATTAATTGTATATTCATGTAAACACTTAAGTGTGTGTAGCAAACATTTACCATAACAACCACTTATTCTACCGTTGCTTCATTTGAATCTTAAAAAAAAATGTTGCCTTTGAATGCAGCAAATAGAAGGTACCATTATGATTGGTCAATACCAAAAAGTGACTTTTGGTATTTGTCACAGTGTGAAAGATAACAGCTTTAACAAGTTGATAGAATCTGATATTTCACTGGAGAAAAGATAATAATTTGCTTTTTATTTCATTAATTTTCACCATCATAAATCTTGGTATAGAGACTTTACCTGAAGTTCTGAATGGATAGGTCTGTTTTAAGCTTTTTCCAATCTTCCAGGCGACGTTTCCAGATTGTGTGTTGTGACTGTTCCCTCTCAATATCAGTAGACATCAGTCTTACATACAGGTCTGAGTATGCCCTTCTGTTACTCAGCATTGTCTGATTTATTACCTACGAAAACAACCGTATAATGATAAATATATAAACCAGAATCTATAGAATGTTCAAGTTATATTTTTACACAACACAAACTATCAATAGATACTTAGTTCTGCTGCAGATAATTGGTAACATCCTCCAAGTGACAAAGTGTAACACCCCCTGACAGTCAGAGACAGGATCAAGGGCTGACAGTGTGAGTTTCTGACACAATATAAATTAAGTTATAAAGATCACATATGTTGCAGAACATTTTGAAAATACATCAAGACAACAAGTCACTAACCACGTATCACCCTACCCCTCTGGTGGTGTTAGCTTATGTACACTTAACTTCATTTCCATGCATGAACAACTATAACCTATAAAAATGTATCTAAGTAAACAAATAGAATGTAACTAGAATTCTTAAGTGCTCATGCCAGTGACAATTCATATTACACATAGTCATATCATTTTCCAAATCAAATAAACATGAATTCGAAAACAAACACTGTACAGATGACTGTATTTTATATTATATTTTATATTATGTTTAATATTTTATATTATATTTTATATTATATTTTATATCATATTTTATAATGCATGTACCAGGTTCAATGGGAAATAAACTGTACTTTCAAATTAAGTAACCAATTCATAATAGGCTGACCATAACTCTTATAAAGATTCAGTGTTTAATTTCTTTTTTTACATCTGATTTGTGGGTAACACAAAGATAAGGCAAAGTGTATTTACAGTAGATTCCTGTAAATATATTATACAAATAGTATTTGAAAGTAATGACTACACAAAAAACTGTGACTCCAGATTAAGACATCTAGTTAAACCTTAGTCCGAATTATTCTGACGTTTT